TCCCCTTATAAAATATTGCTTTCTCTTATAACATGGAATAAAATTCAGAATTGTTCGATTTTCATCAGCTGTAGATTTTTTCTTCTTTTTTTAAAAAAAAAAATGTCAGTAATAAGCCCAGCGAGAAAGTATTGATAAGCCATAGTTGCCCCAAATGGTTTCAAAAGGTTGCCGCACTCTACAAGGCCTTGAATTAATAACCCTTTCTGCCCCTCACCCATATCTCATTCTTACTGGTTTTTACGTTAAAAAAATTATTTGTACAGTGAAAATATTCATTGTTATACATTTGAAAGAGTGTCCTCACTCTTTTAAATATTAACAGTGATTTTAAAAAATTTAAAAAGGGCCTCCCCCCCCCCTTCATCTCAGAAAAATCCTGTCCCATCTTTTGAACATGGAGAAAACTCAAGGTAACTATGTTGTTAGCTCTTTGCACATGGATAATGCAGTATTAGCAGATTCAGTTTTCATATTAATTGATAATAACTTATTTTTTCTTTTGTCCTGTTGCGAACCCCAATTTTTTTTTAAATATTCAGGATTGATATAAAATGGGATAACATGTTCTTTCTTAAACGGTATTCAGAAGCTTGGTATGGAGGAAAGGAATATTTACTTGATGTTGATTAACATCAACAGGCTATGTAAAACTATGTTTAAAGTAAACACACACACACAAAGTCATTTATGTCAAAAATGAATGTTAAATAATAAGATGCTGAATTTTTAGACAGAAGCCCGAAAAGTATGACTGCCAGTTCTGAACTACAGAGAATCAGGGTTGGCAAGTTTTTGACGCATGACGGTTTTTACCGTCATGTCAAAAACCAACAGTTTTGGTAAAACTGTATTTTTATTTGAGTTAACTGCTTATAATTTAAAATTAGTTCATTTTTGGGCAATAAAATTAGAAAAAAAAGTTGTTAAAAGATATTTAAGAACAGATTCTTGCATTTTCCCAACATGATTATATCAAAACGTACTATTTGAAGTAAAATATTAGGATACTAAACAAAATTTTCAACATTTCCAAGCATAATTTTGTTTGGCATATTACATTACTGAAGAATGTCAAGTCATTCTTGACTCAGAGTTTGTTAGTAGATGCAAGTTTTGAAAGTTTTGTTTAGCTTATTTCTAATAATATTTAAGAAATTCCAAATTTTAAATTCTTCTTTTTAGTTCTTGAATTTATTAATAGTTCCAAGCTTTTTTGTTTGTTTGTTTATTTCTAACAATTAAGAAGTGCAAAATTTTGAATCCTTTGCAAATCAAGCTATAATGATAATTATAGTATATGAATGTACTTCTTAACTATATATGAATGTGGAACTATATGAATATATATCCTTCTATAAGAATACATGTATATAGTTGCAAAATCAATTACAACATTCATTTATAAAGGCAATTATGTGAAAATAATATATTGTCCGCTACATGCCATAAATGAAAGAAAACAGTATGTTTTTGACGGTAAAAACACGGTTTTTACCACTGTCATGTCAAAAACCAGTTTTTGACGGCAAAAACCCAACCCTGCAGAGAATACCTATGAGAATGAAAGTGCATTAATATGTTCACCAAGGAAAGTAAAGGAATTTGTGCATTGGCTATGAATCGTTACCAAGTACTGACCAGGTCATCCCCATAAAGTTTTCCTCTTTTGCCTTTCAAAATTAAAATACCTCAGAGACGAGAAATAAAAACAAGAATTTCATCATCTTTTTTTTTAGACCGATCATGGGTTAGAATCTCCTTTCAGTCAGACTAACCATGAGAAATTCTTCTGGCTTTCCTCACCATGTAACTCATTTATAATTTTGTTCCACCAAGAAGACCTCCACGAATGCAAGTTTCTCTCACTACTTGATCCAGGAGTTTTCTGGATTGGGTACAAACTTGCAAGACCATGGAGTTGAACTTTAATAGTCGCACACTCAAAATTGGGTCGGCTGTTCAACAATGGTGATAAAAAAAAAATCATAACATTGTAATAATCCTGTAACGGTTTCCAAATTCTATGCAAAAGCTTTAGAGTAAGGGTAGAGGGAATTTCTAAAAATAGATTGATTTTCGCTCCTCCAATGTTTTAATCATAATTTCACTTTATAAATGAGAGAAAATATATGATGCTTCTAACGTTTCCGACGCTCGGTAGTCGAGTGGTAGCGCTTCGCGCTCCGGTGCCACAGGTCCTTCTGAATGACCATTAACATTTCAATTTATTTTAGAAATTTTTAAACACAATAAAAGAAACTTTTGGGCTTGAAACTGTTGACCTCTAAGGCTCTTTGAACAGTGTTTTCATCATAGAAAAAAAATAGGTGAGAATTTCTCACCCTTTCTCAAAAACAGGGTGAGATTTCAAAAAGTTAAGTGAGATTTCTAAAAACTAAAAAAATACAAATAGACTTGAAAAAAATTTTCTCTTTCATTATAATACATTTTTATTTCTTCTATTTTTTAAAGCATTAAATATTTTTGCTGCATCATCATAGAAGATTTTGCCTTTACTAGGTATTTGTCCATCTTACTTTAGTGCATAAAAATTTGAATGTCTTACATGAAAAAACCTTACCTACAGTAAACACGTGGTTGCAGAGAAATGTGTTCTGAAAGGGGTTCCATGGTTTGCAAGGGTTGTGTTCATGGGTGCAAATTGGAAAAAAGGCCAAGACTGAAATTTTTTTTGACTGAAATACCTAACATACACAATACTCCCTCGACACATGCAAACTATCTAAGAAAGCTTTACCATAATACATCAAGTTTAAATACTGTACAAAAAATATTTATTCATCTGTCTTTTGATAAAATAACAACAGGACATACGAAAGTAGACCAATAACGTAGATCTAAGAAATATTTTTAAGGACAGAAAAAAAAATTCCGATTTCCGTCTTCGAGTCAGTCTTGTTTCCGTCCGCGGACATTTTTGAAAGACGGAAATCCGTCCTGGGGACGGAAGACTTGCACCCATGGTTGTGTTCTGGTGTTCGAAAAGGTTCTGAACAATACTGGTAAATAGGGAAACTAGATAACGGGGCAAATGTTGAAAATAATGAAAGATCCAGGAAGAAAAGTGAAACGGATTTTATTCTAAATAGCGTAATTCGAAGCTTTTTCCAAAATGCGAGAATTTTGAAATTGAGTTATAGAATGCGCGAATTTCTCGTGGTAACCATTTTTTTAATGCGAGAAAAGTAACAAATATGAGAGATTCTCGCGCTGTAGTGAAAACACTGAATGAAGAAATATTTTTCTAAATCTTTTTTCTTTCCCCGAAACTCACTTTTATTTTATCGTTTAAATATTTCCGTAAGCATTTATTTTTTTATTTTTTGTTAAATGTTTCATTTAGCATAAAGAAAAGTTTGAAAATAAGGAGATTTTTAAATTAATGTACTATCCCCCCCCCCTTAGCCGCCAGCAAAAATAAGCAAATTACATTCTCCCTCTGATTATGTAATATTTGAATGTCCCTATTGGGAATTTCTGAGGTCAAAGTAGGATAGTTAAATTATGTGGCTGAAACAAACACAACCTTGTCACTTTTCATTTGACCAGCAATTTAGTTTTGCTTTCATGATAGTTCCACACGGAGCAGCACCTTATCACATGTGATCTTAGAATTTTTGTTCTCCTTTTGGATGCGTCTGATCTTTTTAAAGGCTGGTCCACTAAGGGGATATTTCCATATCGTGATCTGTCGCGCCAACTACAATTGCCAAAGTATTAAATAGATTTTATACTTGTAAATTAAAAAAATAAAAAGTGTAGATGTTTTCCCGGGGGTGACTATGATTTATACCTTTTGCGTTAATCCCTTTCTGTGATATTTTTTTTAGTGTCTCGCAGGCCACTGCCCAGAAGTTTTCAAGACTTGGTAATTATTCTGTCACAAATCACGATACGGAAATCTCCCCTCTACTAAGATTGTCATAATTTGGTTTTTTTAAGGAATATTACATTATTGTAATATTTCTTATTCTTAGGAGTATGTAACAGATAATTAGAACTGTTAGAAGTTTTAGCTATATATAGTCAATGCCCTGTAGGCAATGATGAAAATTTGTACGAAATGTCAACACGCAGAAAAGCCATGGTTGTGAGAAATGCTTTTGCGATATGAGCAAAATTTGAAATATTCAAAATGCTATTAATACAATGCTGAACTATCTGGAATTTTACAAAAAATGAGATATTTTATTGATTTTGACATCAATGGGTAAATCTCCTCAAATTAGTAATTTTTTAAAAATATTTACAGTGGCTCACTTAAACCTCTAGGAAATAAGAATTCCAAAAAAAAAACTAGCTTTAATAGCATAAGATTTAAGTAGCATTGACAGCAGACATTCTTATTATAATTAGTTTTTTCTAGTACCAGATGTACCTGTAACCTATATCAAAGTTAATGTAGTTTAACGTTCAAAACCTTGAAAACTATTGACCAGCTTATGTGAGAGATTCTTAACTAAAGAGACTGTCTGCATATTTATCGGAAATTTTTAAAATCGGTACATGCGGCAATATAATTGAGGAAAAAATCTTAAAAGGGGCCCAACTATTGAGATATAATCTGCAGCCTACCTCTGCACCCTCCCACAATTTGTGCAAAATTAAAATCCTTCTATTGTAGTTGGCACAGACAAGTACTGATACAAAAATATTATTAAACATGTGATGCACTAAAAAAAAATTAATTTCTATTTACAGAATAAATGCTAAAATTTAATGTGCCTCACCACTACCCATTGCATCTCATATGAAGTAAATAGGATTATATAAAAATTTTATATTTTTTTCTTAAAGAGTATATAATTTCAAAAAGAATGCAATTAAATTCAGCAATTTAGGATGTCCCATTCTACACTATTACAAAAAGAAGAGAGTATTTTATGAAAAATTTGTTTTGCTTCTCCCTAAGCATAATTAAGATTAATAACATATTTCAAATAAAGTTAGGTATAAAAACATTTTAGAAATAATACCTGTATGAGTTCTAAAATGTGCTTTAAGGTGTGAGCTTTTTCCATAGGCTTTATCACAGTTGGCATAAGGACACACGTGCAGTTTTTTTCCATTTTGCGGAGAAGGAGTGCTTCGTACCGCACTTCTTGTCGAAGGCGTGGCCGGCCTCTCAATATCGTTTGGCACAGGATCTTGTTCAACCTCGCATAGATCTTGTAATATGCGATTTATCATATATCCTTTTGATTTAGAAAGTTCCAATAATCCATTTAATGCATCAACCTCTGCATCGCACACAGAGCCTACAATATAATATTGAATCTGATCACAAGCTGTCATCAGGGCAAAAAAAATTAATATTCGTGGAAAATAACAAAATAAACAACTTAGTAAGTTCAAAATTAATTAATTAAGCCTCGTTCATTTTAGTCAGTTGATTTTTCCAACAATGACAATGTCTAATGAAGTTTCACGCACACGAGGAACAACAACATTGATCTCAAAAAGTACTTTAAACAAAGAAAACCTGGAACACGCACATCTGCTACTCTTTGCGGTGGTCTTTTATTATTATTTTTCTCCCTTCTTTCTTCTTTTCTCTGCCGCCTCTTGGCACTTCATATGGTTACTCTAAAATAGTGGGTATCGCCAAGTCAGATAACAGGAAATTACGTTACGCCAAACCGTTTAGAAAAGAATGAGGTAATTTTTTAAGAAATAAGAGATATTTGCCAAAAAAGCGATATTTCTTAAATAATAGCAACCTTGTTTGAGAGGAATAGCATACCCGATTTCCGCAAACAAATGCATGCCGCGCCCCCAAACTTTACAGATAATAGCAACTCGCAAAGGGAAGTGACGGTCTTATCTTTCTGATAGCAACGAAAACGGGTTGCCTTTTACAATCATCGTGGCGACTTTTTCTATTTGTGAAATCGCCATGAAATAACCATTTTAACCGTTATTTGTGAAATAACCATGTAAATTTTTGACATGGAATGCCCTTAAAAACTAAAAGAATGATAATTTAATTTCAAAGTCACTTATTGTAAGTATGTAATTAAAAGCATAAAAAGCTAGTTTGTATGTCATATCCCAGATAGCAAAATAAGGTTTATTTTCACTCAGCAAAAAACTTCTAATGCTAACCTAAAAAAGTGTGTTATGCGGTTTACGTGTAAACCTTCTAACCTTAAAATGAGATCTGGGACAATCTACTCTATTCTACTCACATTACCCTAAGGCCCCCATCTGTTTCACTACTTCTGTAATGAAGAATTGAACTTTATGGAGGTATTTAAATTTTTCTCTTCATCATACAATATATAACAAGAAAATTGACTAGAACCTAAAATAGCTATTAAGTCCTACTCCTCCAATGGTCAGAAAAAATATCGTTCAGTGGTTCAGTCCATTTTATTGACTTTCTGATAATTGTATGTCCATCATGCCGAATGCAGTTTTCTGATTGTTAACTTTGAAATCTAGCAGCAAAAAATTCATATCCTTGCGGACATTATGACGGAATTTAGCTTTTGCGATAAGTATAAGTGTTGCGATATACAAGCTTTTCATTGGCCAAATGTGTACCGTATTTGCAAAAATTTAGCCGAATTCTGCACTAGAAAGCCAATGATTTATGAAATATAGATTTTTTGTGTTCATACGACAGATTAACGAAGAAGCTAACATAAAACAGGCGGATATAATACTGTACTGATATTTTGTTTAAAAAACTTCATTAAAGAAGGAAACCTAAAATAAACTTTTAATTCGATTTTGGGCTCCCTCTGATGTGGGGCCAGAGGCAACTACCAACTATGCCCATGCCTTTGTCAGGCTCTGTCTTCACCTCAGAATAAAATTTTCTTTTTCACATGCATCTTTTCCATTTTCATTTTATTATATTTTGGTATTTTTTATTTCTGCAGGGACTTACTTATTCCATAACAAGATATCATCATTACATAAAAGAGCATTTTATTAAGGATTTTATGAGTGGCATAAATTGTAAAATTAAATTTTAAACTTAATTAATATGTAATAAACTACGATCAAACATATTTCTAAATTAAGTAAAAAGTATAGTTAAATAAAGTTAGTTTAGTTAAATAAATAAAGTTTGTTAAATAAAAATCCAATTTATTACAATCCATCATTACATTCGACTTCATTATTATAATCTATTATAGCATAATTACAGCCATACTCCGTAAAAAAATTCACGCCAATAGAAAATAAGTCACAAAATTAAGGTAGACCTGAAAACTAATTTTTCGTCACCATTGAAAAAATAGGAACTTCACTTCTTCTTGCGGGTTCCTATTATCTACTTACGCGTCGTCAAGAGTTGAGACAAAATTTCTGTGAAATTCATTATGTAACTTTCGAGACAAATAAACAGAAAATAAATTATAAGTCAAAGCACAGAAGTGTGTCAGGAAATCTGAATAAATATCTTTTCATTAAAAATGTGAGTAAGTTAGGCTAACTTACATAAGTAAGTGAGGTTAAAGCGCAAATCAAAATTATTAAGTATTTTGCTGTCAACAAAGAAATTTGTTTAAATTAATTCTCGTAACGGATTATATTTCTGATGTGGAAAGATTTTCACTTAGTTATTCCTTTTCGGTTCATTTTTTCCATTTTATTAAATTAAAACTATGTCAGCTGAAAAATATCGCTTTAAGGTTGAGTGGTTTGACTCAGTATTGAAGATAAAACGAGAATTTTTATTAAGTTTTTATCCTTCTGACAGAAGTATAGATATGTTCGACACAATATCGAAAAAACTTTTTCTTCGTCGCACTGTATGTAGCAACATTGATATATCTGATTTTTTCATTGGTAGTATCATAAATGTATTGTCAAGGCAACTTATGATTGTGGGTTTTGGTGATGGAAGAACTGCTGAAAAATTCTCACAGGAAGTAGAATTAACTGTTCTAATTATAAACGAATCCGGTTTCTCATACCTTGGAGAAATAATATCTATTCTGGAGATAAATGATCTTAACTTTAACCATGGTAAAATCGTTGATAAAGATAGGCTTGGATTCAGTTGTTCTTCGTTCACTGAGGATATGAAATCTCAATTTGCTATTTTTGAATTAAGAGGAGAAAATGCTATTAATGTTGTTAGAAAGTTAGTTTACCCTGATTTGCCTATTCAACGACAGGTCAAAGCAAGTTTACGAGAATTGAAACAGCATTGTCTTGCACCTAAAGATCCTGATGTAGCAATGAAAGAGTTAAGACTTTTCTTTCCTCAACATAAAGAGGTCCATTGCAATACAGCTATATATAGCAATTCCACTTGCTGCATTATAAAGCCTCACGCATTAAGAGACAAAGTAGTGGGTAAAATAATACAAGACATTGTCGACTCTGGTTTTAAAATATCGGCTTTAGAAGTAGTGAGTTTTAATGTGTCTAATGCTTCTGAATTTTTAGATGTTTATAAAGGAGTTGTACCTGAATATAAAGATATGGTTGCACAATTAATGTCTGGACCTAGCATAGCTCTTGAAATAATAAGCTCTAATATGAAAAAAACATGTACTGAATTTAGGACATTTGTTGGTCCAGCTGATCCAGAAATAGCCAGAAAGTTAAGACCTGGTACACTAAGAGCAAAGTATGGGCAAGATAAAATTAAGAATGCTGTTCATTGTACAGATTTACCAGAGGATACAAATCTTGAATTAGAATATATTTTTCGTATATTAGCTGAATAGATTGAATATTTTCAGGTGTGTCCGCTAAGCTTGAAGTGGGGTTTATAAAATTGTAAAAAAGGAGTGAGTTCACATTTTAGGTAAACTAAAAAACATAAAATCAGCAGATTAAATTTTTTTCCTTCATATTACAGTTATTTTAAAAAGATAAAATGCTGTTTTTTTTCTTATAATTTAATTTTATATTCTTATTGATTTTTTTCTGTATTAAAAAACTTTAAAGTTGATTAAAATTTTCTTATTAATCCCATATGTTAAAAAGTATTTTGTGTTTATAACAGATAAGAAGTGAAGAAAAATGTAGGTACAGTAGAGCGCTGATGTTCCGAGCTGCTTGGGACCGAACGTGGTTCGGATAATGAAAATTTCGGATAATTGGAAAGTTTTTTAAAAATCTAGTTGAAATGATTATTATTTAGGCACTAACTACCCTTCTCACTTTTTCCAGGCTTAGAACTGGCAGTACTATCTAAAATAGCTCTTGCGGGTTCAAAAGTATTTTTTTTTCAATTTTCAAATATTTTTTATTTACTTTTTTTTTCATTTTGAATTTTTTTAATCATATTTCAGCTTTTTATAATTTTTTTTTGTCAATTACTGATTTTACCACATTTTTCTTTACTTTCCATTGCAAAAGAAATCCAGCAAAGACTTTTGTTTCAAAGAAGATACAATTTTTTTAGCAGCCATATCCCTTATTCATTTTAAATAAATCAACTGAACTGGATCAACATCATTTTGACGTTTTAGACGGTCAAAATGAAGTTCACATTCTTGGAAGATAATTTTCTGTTAAAGAGGGCTAAAGGGGTAGGGTAGGTTTAACTGTATAACAATCATGTATGTATGGCTACTATAAGAAAACTGCTAAAAAAGGTTGCAAATTAAATATGGTCATCAAATGTAGTGGGCATTATTTATTCTTCCAAATTTAGAAAAATTATCGATAAGTTAAGAAGTATTCTAAACTTGAAGGGGAAAAAAGCGATTTCGGACATTGTTTGGATAATTGGACGTTCGGATAATCGGCGCTCTACTGTATCTATTTCCAAAATATTATTCTCAATTGCTCTTAAATATTAATGTTTTTTTTAAATTACAGTTTATATGTTTTGTTTAGTATTTTAAACATTTATCTTAATTCANTATATTTTTTTTTTGTCAATTACTGATTTTACCACATTTTTCTTTACTTTCCATTGCAAAAGAAATCCAGCAAAGACTTTTGTTTCAAAGAAGATACAATTTTTTTAGCAGCCATATCCCTTATTCATTTTAAATAAATCAACTGAACTGGATCAACATCATTTTGACGTTTTAGACGGTCAAAATGAAGTTCACATTCTTGGAAGATAATTTTCTGTTAAAGAGGGCTAAAGGGGTAGGGTAGGTTTAACTGTATAACAATCATGTATGTATGGCTACTATAAGAAAACTGCTAAAAAAGGTTGCAAATTAAATATGGTCATCAAATGTAGTGGGCATTATTTATTCTTCCAAATTTAGAAAAATTATCGATAAGTTAAGAAGTATTCTAAACTTGAAGGGGAAAAAAAGCGATTTCGGACATTGTTCGGATAATTGGACGTTCGGATAATCGGCGCTCTACTGTATCTATTTCCAAAATATTATTCTCAATTGCTCTGAAATATTAATGTATTTTTTTTATTACAGTTTATAAGTTTTGTTTAGTGTTTTAAACATTTATTTTATTTCATATACAAGAACCATCATTATTATTGTGTTCTCTGTCTGTATTAAAAAACATAGTTTAAACTTGAAATATGATTTATAACCTAGTGCTTTGTCTCCGAGCTGCAAGACACATTGTCTGACAAAGGTCAGAATATTGAAAAAAATTGAAGGTCAAAATATTGATATCATTTGTGGACAGCCTTTTCTCTAGAATATCCATTACAATATAATTTTAAATGTCAGTTTGTTTATTATAATTTTTTTGACAATCATATGTATTAAAAATAGAACAGGACTTTTTTTTTAATGACTTTAAAAACTTCAAATGATTTTAATATTTTTGTCTCTAATATGGCCATATTGTAAATAAATAAAAAAGTAAAATACAGCAAGATGTATTAAAGAAAAGTATTTTTAACGTTCTTTAAGTCATAAGAACGACTCTGTTGTTTTCAAAATTAACAAATGCTTATTCACAGAAATTAAGCCTTGTAAAAAAGCAGATAAATGCTCATAGAAAGGACAATATTTTTACTTTTTGTGTAATTTATTTATTGTATTATATATTTTGTGCAATTTATTCATAATATTTCAGTGATTTCATTTAATATATGTTTGTATATTTTAAAGCTATGATTAAATAAATATTTCACAGTTTTATGCTATTTTTTATGATATACCTAATTGTGTTGAAATTTTTAATCACTGTTTTGATATAATATTGTTAAAGTTTTTAATCACTTTGGTTAAAAGTTTAATATAACAAATTTGTTAGTTTCAGGCCTTTGCTAAATTACAAAATTATTTTAGTATTCAGGACCTCATAAACAGATGCTCAATATTGTGAACCTCCAAATAGATGTTTCCCTATTTAATGGTAAAAATATTAGCCATATATTCTAATTACTGAAAATATATAGGCATTAGAGTTTATACAATATAACCCTTGTCATGTTTTGATCTCCTGAATTTTACAGAAATTTAATCTTTGTAAGAAAACTTAGTTAAATCTTTACGTGTTTTAATTTGCTTAAAATAATTTTAATAATAAAATTATCTTTTTATTGCCTTATTAGTTAAATCAATAATTTTTGAAGCAATGAGTCATGTTATATCATCATAACCAGGTATATCATGGTATATCATCATGTTAAAAAAAAAAAAAATCCTTAAAATTTTCTGATGACTACTTTTATTGTACATTTTTTTCCCTCTAGGATAAGTTTCATTTTACCGCCCAGTGAGATATTTTCTTCAGTGAACTAATGAATTGAATGAAGAAATATGTATGAATTTTATAAAATAACATAAAATATTTCCAAAGATTTTTGAGATAATAAAATTATATATCTCTGTTACTTTTGTTTACACATTAAACAATCTAGGTAATCATATTTTATTTAAGAAAGAAAATTATGTCTAAATTTAGCATTTTGCCAACTGAGTATAAGTTTTTTAATAAAATAAAACAAACTAAATATATCAACTTCTGCATAACCATTGTAATTGGCTTTGTATTTTAATACAAACAATTAGTGCTTATGCAAATGAGCTTTGAATACCTTGTTTCATAAAATATTTTATTTTATTAAAATTCTGTATTTTTATGCTCTATATAAAAAGTAAATAATTCTATATTCAAAAAAGGTTAAATTGACAATGTCTTATTGTGTTCGAATGAATTAATTTAATTAACTTGGCATTTTCAGATTAATATTTTTTTAAAAAATCTTTTTATTTATTAGTTAAGTTTAATCCTATTTAAGAACTTTATCACTTAACGGAAGCATAAGAGTGTTTTAAAGTTATTTTCCACAGAAAAAAACTCTTCTTCAATCTTGGACAAATGGCTTTTAAATATTACTATATAATTTTTCGAAAAAATTGAATCTGCAATTCTATAAAAGCAATGTTTGATTTTCATTATAATTAGTGAATTTATTGCACATTTATATAGCAGTTGATTTTTTATTCTTAAAATCATATAATACAAGTTAACAAGCATTAAACATATTTTTGTGATCAGGGACCATTTTATTTAAAAGTTAGAGATAAATCACCGCTTTGTTTGATATTCCATTTTACTCACGATCAGTACCACCAAAGTTAATATAAATAAATCTCAATACAATTCTTATTCCATTCTGGACTGAAACAATTTAATTAAACTGAGTACATTCTATTTAATTCATTCTACTGAGGTTTTGGTGTATTATTACATGATAGCCATTCTTTAATAGTATATAGTCATTTATTATTGATAGCACAGCTGCCAACCTCAGGAATCAAAAATTAGGAACACTATATGTGACAAAATTATACACACCAATTACGAGAGTAAGATAAAAATTTATTAAATAATAACATTAATAGACATATATTAAAATACCTTATGTAAATTAGTAAAAAAAAATTATCAACACTATCTTTTGTGGGAAATTTATAATATTAATATTTTATAATTAGGAATACCAGTATATTAGTTAAAAAATTAACCATTATACCTATTAATATATAATTATTCTTCTTCAAATTATAAAGCACAGGTAAATATTAAACTACATTATTAAAAAATATTTCTAATGTAATCGTTTAAGCACAGTCAAACCCCGCTATAGTGAACCTTCAAGGGACCGAAATTTCGGTTCACTATATCCGCGAACAATTTTAACCAATGGTTCCGAACTCCTTTTTATTATACATTATTTAAATAAATGACTCATAAAATGAAATATAAAAATGACTGAAAAATAATATGTAGTAACAAAAAATGTGTTAACTTGCTTTTATTTTTATTACTCTTCTTTTGCATACAAAAAAAGTTAGTGGTCTTTAGCTGATGCAGGGAAAAATTTGTCCATACATTGGCCGTTTTTGCTTAGGGATGGAAAAGTGAGATAAAAGAAGCAAAGCAGAAAAAATGCTTATCGCTACATTCCACTTTTATGGATGGTCTTAAAAATCAGGATAAGTATTTATTTCGAAGTAGACATTTCAAAATTATTTTTAAAAAATGAAGAAAAAAATTCACTTGAAGACAGAAAAAAGTTCATTATATCCAACTTCCTCACTTTTTTAGTTCACTATGTCCACAAAAAATAACATATATAGCCGTGTATAGCAAGGCACGGGACCGAACATTTCGTTCACTATAAACCGTGTTCACTATAGCGGGGTTTGACTGTACTATGATAATTTTAAAAAAAATAAATAATTGTTTAAGATTCAATTTAGTGAAATCATCAGCAACAACTATCGGAATAGTGTTTTCCAATTAAAAGCTACTAAAAATTACTTCAGCACAATAATCACAGGAAGAGAGATTGCGGTGATTAGAACAAGGGATTGGTTTAAAAGCAAAAATACTGCAATTTTTTATGAAAATTCGGATTTTTTATAAAAATATTAGATTTTCAAATTTGATTTAAAAATTGGGAACAAATCAAATCTGAAAAATTCTGGACAGTTGGCAGCTATGTTAATAGTATATAGTAATTTAATAAAAGGATTTTTTTAAATTAATGATTATTTTCTGTTTCCCTTAATTTTGGTAATAACTGCTGATTATCTAGTCAGAATTATTATCATAGTGAATTAAATAATTTGGAAGGCGCAGTCCATAGGATTACTTCGGGAGCTTCTATAATTCTTCTATAATGGGGAAAAAAATCCTTCGCAGAAACAGGGGTACAGAAAATTCTCAGATCTTAACATTTCCCCAGAACACAATATTTCTGGTTGAAAATTCTCTCAAAATTATAGCGTCTTTTTAGTTATAATGATTTTTTCGAAATATTTTTAGGAAATAAAATTTTTATTTTGTTAAAATTTTATGATAATTTTTTCTATAACAAAGAGGGAAAATTCATTTGAGTTTACACAATTCTTAAATAAACTAGCATGTGTTCAAAATAACAGAAACCGAAATACATTAAAATAGTAATAATTTAAAAAAGTAAATCCAGTGTCCCTCTCATAAACTTAAGGAATAGCACTTAATAAATAAACAAATAGATTTATAAATTTGTGCATTATGTTTAACAGAAAATATTCTTTTTCGACAGTAAGTTGATATGGTTGTATGAGGAATAAAAAAAAATTGTTAAAATAAACTTAATAATTAAAATTTTCCCCCAGTTCGACTGAATTCCCCCGAATTTCGTTCATGCGATCTGACAAATTCTGCACCCCTATGGTATATTTATCACATTTTATTAAATGATTCAAAATTCAGATTTATATTTTAATTATTAATAATAATTGTAATCTCTTAAAAATTCTGTTTAAATGACAAATATGTGAAGATAATGAATTGTTTACCACGATATATGCTTAAATGAAGTTTAACATGGTTTTCAAAAACCATGGTACTTGTAATACCTTAAGATCAATATCATTTGCTAGATTATAATCATACAGTTAACTTATGAGTTGTTAATTATTATCTTTCGCACTTTCTATATGAAATATTATAAGTTCTCAAATTTAGCACTTACTATAATCTGTTGCTTCAAAATAATAATAAACAAAAGAAATGTTTTTTTTTTTTTAAAAATAATTTTTAAGCATGAAGAAATTTTTCTATCGTTTCATGTAAAAATGATTTCAATTCCATATTGGTCTCTTTTTTTTGTCAGAATATCTAAAATATTTTTATAAAGGTAAAGAACCTGCACCAATAATATGAATCAAAATATTGATTTATTTTAATTTAAAATTCAGGAAAATACTAATTCTTTTAAATGACAAATCTAATATTTGAAAGTAAAAAAAATTTATCTCATGTTTTGAATTGTTGGTGGTAGACATCATTCATTTCACTAAGAAAGAAAAGACAATTGAAACTGTAGAATGAAAAAGTTTATTTAATTATGCGTATCTGAAACATTCATAAATAGGAGTAAATTTCAAATAACACAGAAAATGAATGACAACCAACCTATTTATTTACAAATAAATTTAAGATGATCATGTGAAAAAAAAAACATTTTTTAAAACACTACAATGTTTTTTTCACTCAAGGAAATCAATTTATAAGCAGTTATAAAAATGTCATAATCAATATTTGGTTTTAGAAAAAAACTTAATTTGTTTAGTGATTCACAAATTCATATCTGACATTAGAATCTAATTATAAAATTTACATAAAACACAAATTTTTGAACACGACTGCTATAAGTGGGAAGATAACAAATGAACTTTTTAAGTATTAAAACATGCATGATATAGAAGGTAAAAAAAAAATTCTTTGCAAATTTTTTACATAAACGAAATACCAAAGAAATAATACAAGAAAAAGAGCTGGTTTATTGAGTCGGAGCAATTAAATAATGCAATGATTACAATCAAAAATTTGAACAAGTTTTTATAAAAATTATAATGTAATAAAATAAATCAAGTCATCACATCCGACTAGTAAGTGGGATATCACAATTCTCAAATAACTTAATAAACAACATGCCAACCTTAAGATTATCTGATTATATTCAAAAAATTTCGGTTTCCTAATTATCTACATTCATACATCAGACCTTAAAGTCAGTTTAATAAAACCTAAATTCCCACAAAACAAGCAGACAAAATGACTAGGTACCTAAAGCATACAAGAATTTAAAAATAATAGAATAAATAAACAAGTAAACTAGAAAAAAAGGCAAATACAATAAATATCTAAAGAAACTTACTTCTCTTTAGAACAATGAATTATTTTCAAACTAATAAGGTCAGTAAAAAAGTTTTTAAAAAATGCACCTAAAAGCTATTTTCAATTTTGATCATTAAAATGTTTTTAATTTAAATCAGCTTACACAACTGATTCCTGAATTCAAATAAACCATAAAAATATGTAATTATTTTTTAATCACTAAGCTCAAAATGCACAATATTCATTTTTGAAGAAATGAAAACGTTCATTTCAAATTTTGATTAACTATAATTTGCAATGAAACTGCATTAGAATGTTTAGAAATTTTTTTAAAGATAAAGACAGATATAACAAAAATATGTGATTAAACCAACAGTGGATAATGATTCTGGCAAGATAATGTTTAAGAAAACAAGTAAGATTGTTCAGATTCTCATATAAACTATTTCTACGTGAATTCCTCAGTGGACTAAATAACAGTTATTTCCTAAACTAAGCTCAGTAGACCAACAACTTTAAGATTTCTTTTCGAAAACTTCTTAATGTTTTGAAAACAACTTCACAATATCGCTACTAATGTTAACTTATAAAGCAGTCACCCTGTTGCAAATTTCTTCTGTGAACTCTGAACACTTTGCACGTCCACCCAAGTCGGCTGTCCTTACCTAGGAACAAAAACAAAAATCAGAACTAATTATACAATGCATTCAGACTAAATTTTAGCATGTTTAAAGGAGCAATGAATCTATAAAAAAAAGTAACACTTTAATATAGGGGCTAGAATACATATCACCTGATATTTCCTTATTAAATTCCAATTTTTTTTTTATACAAAATACACACTATATTTTATTAATAATATAAAGATGAGGTAAAATGTTGTAAGATAGTGATTCCCAAAGTGTGCATTGTAGCCTCCAAGTAGCTGCAATATTCTAATGAATGTTAATAAAATTTCAAGTATGAATTTATTAAATAACATATAGAATAATAATTCTTCTTCTTCCTTATCCCCAAAATTAGCAGAGCTAAACAATGTCCACGAGATTCATGACCCGGAGGATGTCGGCCTCCAAAAGTGGGTTATTTAGTATGTCCCTCTTGTCCAGTCCAGGATATGTTGGAGAGAAGCCTGCATGTTGCGGCACTTGGGGCAGTTTGCAAAAACTCTGTTCCCCTTACATTTTTCGAAAGTAATGCACCTTTTTAAAGTTACAGGCGGGGGGTGGGGGGAAGAATTATTTTTCCCTTTTCGTTCACTTAACTTCATTCCTAAAATTTTAATTAAAAAAGGGAGTCACATAAATAGGACTAGATGATGTAAGAAATTTTATATTGTAATACATCGTGATATGGCGATGTATCTCAATTTAAAATATGTTAAAAAATTATCTATCAAAAATCTTTAAATAAATAAAAGGAATAAATCCATTACAAAAGAAAATATTAATTCTGAAAAAAAGAAGAAAAAAATGCTTCTACAACATCAATAGCATTGCTTAATTTTTTCAATTAAAATAATAAAGATGTCTTTAAGTCAATCATTAACAAGATATAATAAATATATAAATTTTTAAGATATTTATTTTCAAATTATGAAACTATTTCATCTTTATGTACTGATTTGAGTACAGAGTCAAATGAAAAAAAATTTAACTGACATAAATGAATCAAAACAGAGTTACAAAGAAACAGGGGAATAAAGTTAATGGCATAAATAAATTAGCAGTTTTTAAGTCTTCGTATGCAATTAACTAAGTAATATACTTTAAATCTAAAATATATGAAAATAACTTGTCAATAAAAATTTTTTTGCAGAGTAACAACTCCAAACAACATACCTTTCCTCCTTTAATTGTTTCAAAGCAGGCTTTCTCGATTTTATCAGCGTGGCTAGTTAAGTTCATATATCGAAGCATCATTACTGCACTTAAAAGTAATGCAGTAGGATTAGCCTTATCTTGTCCAGCAATGTCTGGAGCTGTTCCGTGAACCTATAGAAAATACTGAGAGTTAATAATAATAATAAAAAGAATTATCCCAATGAAAAAAAAGGGTTAACTATTTTTGTTTAGTTTCTTCTATTAAATTTGCATAGAAATATTTAATTAAAAGTTTGAGGAATGAATTATACCTCATTCAATTCGTCTTAATAAAAGTTAATTATTTTCTAAGAAAAAAATTACATCAATTCTGTCACAGTTTATTTTTAAACTTTAACCTTAAATTTTGCACTTCAATATTCTCTAATGATAACAAAACACACAGAAAAAATGAACATCATATTCACTAACTACTAGGATGATTATTAAAAGTTCATAGTTCTTTCTTTTTAAATTTAAAATAGTTTTTGCACAATTTATCATATCTCTAACCTATACCATTCTTTGTCATTATAAAAAAATTGTCTTTTCGCCCATATTATATATACAAATGAAAAAATTAGCGTAGATATGGAGCACCAAGGAATGTTAAATAATAAGACAGGTTACCACTGAATTTATCCAGGCACTATAAACCAAAATTAATATAAAAAAGAGAAAAATTAAATTAAAAAAGAATAGTATCTTGTATTTGAATTACTGGTCTTCAGATATAAATCATGTTAGTAAATTTATAATAGGATAGAGCTAAAGGAGGTAACTATTATGCACTAGCAACAACTTTATCAACTGCTTTTGAGGTTGCATATGTTCAGTCCTAATTAGAAATATATTTATGATTAACCCAAAATTACAAATATCGCAGTCATTGTGGGGAAAAAAATTCCTTGATTTCTTATATAGTAAAAGCTCAATTAAAAAAATCTCATTAGAAACAGAATAAATATTATGTACAGAAAAAGAGACAAAAAAATTAAATGTACAATGGAAAATCTTATATCTGTAAATGTTGAGACTTTGGCAACTCCAAAAAATGGCTTTCTCCAGATAATAGGTCACTTCAAGGTAAACATCAAAAATCATATTCAATAAAAAATAACAAATAGAAAAAATTGACCTAAATTTTAATCAACAACATATAAACCCACAGGGTTTGCCAATCTCTATTTCGTCAACTATTGTTATAGATTTCCACATGGTTTTTCGAATCTCAATATTTAAAATATACTATTATAGCATACTGCAAATTCTGAATCATACATTTCAGATAGTAATCATTTCTCGATTAGCAATCATTCATCAGTAAATCTGTGCGGCTGTGTTGATATATTTCGCTTGGCAAACTTCAATTTGCCATTTCGCACTTAATTATTGACGATTTTCTTATAATCCCATGCAGATTTACTTTCTCTATCACGCACAGGCAATCCTATGCGAATTTTAATGCTTCTCTATCATGCATGGGCAATTTGGAATTGCGTATTTGAAGAATTACTTTTTGATGCACTCGATTTGTAACGATTTCATTGTCCATCGCATTTTTTACAGTTCAGGATTATCACTAAGTCCAAATTTTGTTTCAAAGATAGTCAATTTTTTCTCACATTATAGAGGAAATCAGATTAAAATTAAAAAAAGTAAATAAATAAAAAATTCAGAAAAAATCAGGAAGAAACAAAAATTAGCAGAAAAGTTGATAATTTTCATCTCGGTATACTTTTTTTTTGAAAGGCCACAAGTATAAAAAAAGAAAAATGTTTTGTTCTTTGAAATAGGAAAAGTGTTTTGTTTATTTTGATTGTCAAAAAGTGCAGAAAAAAGAGACTCTGTCAGTAAATGGATGTCCAGATATGGGAATTTGTACTGCAAATTTGACATGGTCTGGCAAAGATGCTCTAAATTTAATTTAGTTTCCTTCAGCAATGAAAAAACTTGAGGTTTTCAGTGATCATTATTTGAACTATAACTTCATATATAACCGCAGGAAAAAACTGTTTAATCATAACTTAAAATTTTAATTAGAATTTTATTGCATTGCACATAGCATTCCACTATTCCCTAATACATAAGAGAATGCCATGTAATTTGAATAAATTTTTTTATATATCTAAATTTATATTAAAGGATGTGGTAATAAAACAATAACTAAATTTCTTAGCTTTTTAAAAACAACTTTACCACAAAAATCATGTTTTTCAAACACTCTTAAATTTTTATTTAAACATAGATAAGAGATTCAACATTTGCAATCTTTAAAGATAAAAGAATATACTAATTTTTTTTTTGCTTTACTGAATTTGAAAATTTAAAGCAGTTAAATAAATTTTTTCAGATAAATGCTAGTAAATGAAATATTTATTTATATATTGCATTAAAACTTATAGTTTATAAATTTTAATGTTAGTAAACAAAATATAATTAATAAGAAAAACAATAAAATACAATTTAAAAACTTACTGATTCAAAAACTGCACCACCCTTGCCAATATTTCCACTGGGTGTCACACCAAGGCCACCAATAAGACCAGCACACAAATCACTAAAACAGATATAAACAATATTTGAAAAATATTTAAGCTCAAACTTACACTAAATTGTTTTGCATTTATTTTAAAGATAAAGCTACACCATTAGTATAAGCATAGCCAGTTTTCCATCATTTTATTAAAATGCAACAGCAGAAATTAATACTTTAATTCTTTAACATGGAGTTTCATGGCAAAATTCGGACAAAGGTTGAATAAGAAAATTTGTTTATTACCTTAGAATATCACCATACAAATTAGGCATGACAAGGACGTCAAATTTTGCTGGATCTTGCACCATCTAAATGATGTATAAATAAAATGAGTATATATGCAACAATAATAACTCTAGATAATTCAACTTTAATCAGCAATACTCAGTAGAGAATCATTCCACTCCAGTAATGTGAGTAAAAAAAAATGCTTAATTTCATATTTCCAGTTTTTTGTCAAGTAAATAAATGTAATTTAAATGACTTCAAACATTAGATGTTTACATCTAAGGGCAGAACTTATTGTAATAAGTTCTCAAGGTTAAGTGGGGGAAAATAAATTTTTTGTGTGGATTAACTGTACCTTACACTAAAATACTCTAAACATAATATACATAAAGAAAAACATAAGGTAAGTCTTTGGAGTAAGTTGATTTAAATTCCCCCCCCCCAACATATAAAGGCATATCTTTATTAATTCATTTATACTATTAATTGAAATTAATTTATTTTATATTAAAAAACCAATCACATTAAAATAACTTTAAAAAATTTAATACTTAAAAAAACATTAGAAATCACAATAATTTTAGTTAAAAGAAATCACCAGATTTTTATTATATGAACACAGTTGTTACTAACCACAACTGTAAAATTTTTCTGAGCTTAATTTGTTCCTTTAATTCCGAGAAAAGAAACAAAATAGTAGTTCACAAACTAGTTTGATGAATAATACAAAAAAGATATCTTTTATTTTAAAATAAAGAGTAAAAAAAGCAATACCGTAGGAAGGAATGCAGTATAAAAAAACTTACATTAAGGCAAACTGTATCGAGGTACACTTCTTCATATTTAATATCTGGATGTTGCTCAGCAACTTGTCGGCAACACTGAAGAAATAAGCCATCAGACATTCTCCTAAAGAATACAAAATTAAATAAGTTTAGATATATTGACAAAACCTACTTTTAAAATTTTACTATGTTTAAATACAATAAAAAAAAAAAACTTTTTTTTTAAAACTCTCATAAATTTAATTTATAAAAAACTCATTTTAATTAACAATTATAACGTGTTAAATGTTATCTGATAAATGTGTGAATTTTAACAAGACAACTTAAGTAATGGATAAAACCAAATTACATAAATACAAATTTTGATGACAAAATATGATAAGAAAAGTATCCTTGAATAAGGCAAAGAGTACTACTTAGCAAAGCATTAATAAATTATTAAATGCTGCAAATAGCTGCATGAGTAAAAATCATAATTAGGGTAATAACTAATAATGTAAGGGAATAGTTATGAAAAATCATTGCTTAGAAGCATTGAATACAGCTCAAAGTTTTATATTAAAAAAAAATAATAAATCTTATACAATAATTTCTATCATTCTTTAATAAAAATAAGAGTAGATTTCTTCTTCTTCTCAAAAACTGTAAAATTTTAAATTTGTAAGAAACATTTCAGCAAACACTAAAAAAATAAGAAAATACTACTTAAATATCATACATAATATTTGCCTTGTGCACAGCAGTAATTGTCTTTCGGTTGTTCTGCTTTGCATATTCAAAGGCATATTCTGCAACTCGATGAGATGCATTTTCTGTAATTAGTTTAATACTTTGAACAACACCAGGTACAATCTAGAAAAATAAAAATATCTTTAGTTTCTTAAAAACTATTCCTGGGGAAAATAGTCACGATTATAAAATTCTGACATTTGACCCAGTTAGAAGAAATACTGAACTAGCATTGTAATAAGAATTCGACAGCATATTTTAAGATAGTAATATTTTTGCACACAAGCTTTACACAATCAGTTTGAATCTTGGTTGAATAAAGTGGAGTATAACTTAAAATCTTGACCCTAACTCGTTGAGATTTCAAAAAGAAAAATGGAAAACTTATTTCTTAGTGAGTCAAATAGCAGTGAACAAGAAAGCTTTTACGAGGCTCACAATAATTTTCTTAATAAATCATTTTTACATTACTTTTAAAACAATTTAATAGTTTTGTTACTTTATGAAATAATATCTTTTAAAATGCATACAAATATTCTTCGCAAGTAGTCAAATAAGCGGCACCATTCAAAGTGTTAAATCATAGTAAAACAAAACACAGATATAATAGGATGTAAAAAAATTAACAATTTTTAAAACTCTAAAACACTTTTACCTTTCCATATTTTTCAAAATACTTTTTGTTCATAAAGTTTGCAATGATTATTGTTGGTAATACGTGCAATATTTAGCTGAGAAATGAGTTATAAAATTTTCTATGCTTAGTTATGCGTAAAATCTAACAAATGTTTTAAAAAATGTCGATAGAAATATAATTTGATGTAAAAAATCAGAATAATTTTTCTTATGCTTATTTAAGGTAAACTTTGATTAAATATACTATACTAAGCTGATTGTAAAAATGCACTTCAATGCTCTATCTTAAACAGAAAAGAATCCTTAAGAATTCAAGTAACATGCAAACACCATTAAAACATCCATATGAAAAAGAACTTTAAAATCATGTTGAGGGAAAAATCAGTCTCCTTTGCATAAAACTACTCATAACTTCATTAATAATGCAGATAGAACAATAAACTATCGATAAAAGAACTATCTATATAAGACCTATAGTTAGGTATGGCAATGAAACTTGGACTCCAAAAACTACGGACGAATCCTACTAACCTTCTAAATGAAAATTTTGAGAAGAATTTTCGGACCAATTAAAATAAATAATACACAGTGGAGAATAAGAAACAATGGTGAACTTGACAATTTAGTTAGACAAAAAAACAAAATTCGATTATTAAATCCCGAAATTTGATATGGTTCAAGCATATTGAAAGATTAAAAAATAATAAAAATTTAAGAATACTTATAAAAATTTGAGAATACTTATAAAAGGGAAACCTTTGAACTCAAGACCCAGAAGAAGAACAAAAAAAAGATGGTAGAATGATACCACCAAAGATCTAACCACCTTGAAGATGAGACACTAGAAACTAAAAACACTTAAGTTTGGAACGACATTGTTCAGCAGGTCAAAGCTCACTGCGGGTTGTAGATGTCGTATAAGGAAGTAAGAGAAATGAACTTTTTTCTGTGTGCTTGGAATCGCTTGAAGTTTAAATGAAGTAATAAATCTTTTTTAAGATACTTTAGTCATTTTTGGGAAAAGAGAACTCTTAATAATGAAAAATGCGCCATATATAATAATAAATACGAAAATAAATAAAGAAAAGATTTTATTACCTCATGTTCAATTCCACTGTATTCACCTTCCGTGTTTTCTCTAATAGTAACAACATCAACATCTTTGTAAAGAGTTTCTACACCATCAATAGAACGACAGGGTCGAACATTAGCATAAAGATGAAAAGCCCTTTCAAGAACAAATTTGTTACATAAATGAACTTAATATTAAAATTAAAGAAAATCATAACATCAAAAAATTTTGAGCATATTCTCTTACTGTCTTATAGCTAAATTTAGAGATCGGTGGCCTTTTCCTATGGGTGTAGCTAATGGTCCTTTCAAGCCTATGGTATTCTTATTAATGGAATCTATAGCCCTCTGAGGTATTCCCATTTTTCCATCAGGACCTTTAACTGGAGTTACATCTTCAACTTCCCAACTGATTGGCACCTTAAAGAAAAAAACAAATTGTAAAAATTTTTCGTATCACATTTTAATGCATCAAAATTTTTGACTAACTGGTAATAAGTTTTTTTAAATTAAATATATATATATAGATAGATATAGATATATGTATGTTACGCTTTGAAAGCATAATCATTGTAGATTCGTAGTGTGGCCGGTGCTTCTTTAAAAAGATACAGGAAAATGTAGGAATCATTTAATTTTATTAAAGTTAGGGCCAGAGGCTCACAAATGAGAACCTTACATGTTAGTGGATAGATAGAGAAGAGCACATTTGACTTTGGAAAGAGGGATTTTATATCTTTCTGGACAACACATTTAAATTGAATAGGTAACGCTTAGTAACGTGGGACTGATCAATTTCTCAAGCTACTTAAGACACATCACATTTTCTGAGATAATTAGATCAATATTATTACTTCCATTGTGGGAAAGGCATTAAACGATTGAGCGTTAGATAAATGCTCTATTTATGGATTATATTTAATATATAATTGTTTTAATGTTACATATATAGATATGTATCAGGGGTCTGTTTTGAAGAAATTTGGGTCCTTTGACGGACCCTTCACAAAATAATTTATCTTTTAAACGGACCCTTCACAAATTTGTTTATCTTCATTATTGTTTAGTTAATTGAATAAACCCTTCCTAGGGCAGAAAACAAGAAAGATGGATGTAAACAAATAAAATTTTGCCTTCGGCTGCCGATTCTTCCATTATTCATCCGAAATTAATATTCTGCGTTCAGCAGTATATTAATACCTGCTAAATACCAAATATCTGTATGTTGCATCTCTAATTTAGAAGCAGCAATTACTGTTTATTTTTTTAAATTATAATTTTACAGTGCTGAGCATAATCTTGTATCTATTTACAATTTAAAAACTCCTTGAAATTTTTTTGCAATAACCGGACCCTATTTGCACAAGTTCTTAAAAGCAGGACCCTGGTTGAAAGAATGGGAGCAATTTTTTCACAATTTCACAAAAACCGGACCTTTTACAAAATACAAAATGTCCGGACAGAACCCTGTGTGTATATATATATATATACAGAATAGATGAATTTTTTATACTTATCTATAAAAAATCTATATTAAGTCTTGCAAAACTTTTTTCTGCAGTATATTTTATACCAGTCTTGAGTAAAATTAAAATTTTTCTTATAATTCGTTTGAACACAATGGAACTTTTTATTCATAGTTCCGAAATATTATAGGGTGGGATGACCAAGAACCCATCATGTTTTATTGCTCTAATACCCTTGGGCCACAGGGGTGCAAAAATTTTTCAAACTCTAATATTTCCCGAACACTATTTCTTTTTGCTTGAAATTTTCTTCAAAATTACTGCATTTTTTTTAAAAAATTTTCTTTTAAGTTGCAACAACTTTAATTTACACAACTCTTGAGTAAACTAGCATATGTGTAAAATTAATAAAACTAAATTTAAGTTCTTATGCTTAAGGAATTCAAATTCATAAACAAACTAATTGACAAATATAATTTTTTTACAAGGAAACATTTTGTAAAGCATTCATTTTTCTAATCATCATTCTTTTTTCATGCAATAAAAAATTCTGAAGCAATTCTTTAATTTGACAAAACATTTCCCTAGAGCTGTTTGAATTTATTCTGAACCTTAATTGCGTGATTCGGCATATTCTGCATCTCTGTTGGACTGCTGGCTTACTTAAACATTTATTTTATTTCACATTTTTCTTGTTGAAGAGCTCTTGATAGAGGTTAAGTATGTTGTCAAATGTTGTTTAAGTCTGATGCCACAAGTAAGCACAATCAGCTAATTAGTGCAAATGAGGGAAAAAGTCTTAATTGAACAACTTTTACAAGCTTGTTAAAATTATGGTTGTTTTTTTGACCATAATTTTTTAATATGTTTTTAACAATACAAAAACGAGCTTTTTAAAAATGATTCTAAATAAATAAAAAAATAAAAATTGAGGAATTTCACAGAATGAAGATCATTTTAAAGTTAAGATGTTATAAACACTATAAGGATTTAATTAACAACATTATATCTAGCACAAAAATTACACACTCTAAGCACTATAATCTGGTCCTGACAAAAATGACAAAATGAAAGAACTGAAAAGAAAAATCATATGGGCACCCAAGGTCACATCTCTTGCAAAGAAGGTAAACAATTAAAGTGTTAAGTAATGAATATTTACATATGAATCAGGGTTGGTTTTTTCAAACGACAGACGTAAAAACTTTTTTTTTACCAGAGAAAAACATTTTTCATCATATTGTAGTGCAGTGAACAATAACTTAACAAAATTTCGTTTAGAAATGACAATTAATGTTAACATTATATTCATAATTGCTTCAATATACTATAAAATATAAATTATTAAAAGTTATTATACTATTATACATACATATTTTTAAATCTTGATTTTCAATGAAAATAAAAAATTTTGCACTTTGTAAAATATTAAAAATAAGTTTAAAAAAGTTTGTTTACCATAAAGATTTTATTTTGATATTGATATCCATTCAGCATCTATATTTTTTACAATCTACACTGGAAAACCAAGTATATAATCCTGAGACCTTTATTCAAAAATTATAAATAAAGAAAACTAATTGAAGGGCCATAGCTATTTTGTTTAATTGAAAACTCACATTAATGAGGAACCACAATTATATTCAAAATGCCGTTTTCAGTAATCAGGGTCCTTGTATCAAAACATGCAATGGTAAGCGACTAGTTCTGCTCATTTATTTTTAAATAGCCATAAAAATACATTATTATATTTTTATAAAAATTTTAAGTTATTTTTTAGCAAATATCTTTCATAACTTTTTTTAATACATTGTTTTAAGAATTAAGATACACTTTTCATATAAATTTTAATTAATTGGAATAATATAAAAATACAATGCCACTAAAGATCTGAGTTTTTAACATTTTTGAGATAATAGCAAAAATCAAGGTAGAAATTAGGAAATACCATGAGCAAAGTAAACACTTGCCAACCCTCATATGAATAAATAAAGAACTACAGCTTTAAACGAATTTTCATAATTTAATTATTTTGCTACAATTTTAAAAACTATCTAGATGTTAAAAAAATAGAATAAGAAATTAAAACTTTACTTGAGCAGCCTCAAATATTTTTTGAACAGCTACAGATATTTCAGGTCCGATTCCATCTCCGGGAATAAGAGTGACAGTTCGAACATTAGACTGATTCCTTACAGATTGTAAGGTACATAAACTCTTCAGTTGACCACAAAGCTGTTTTTTAAACTGTGAAAATGAAAGGAAAACAAGATTTATTAGCTTACAGATATTCATAAAAACTCTCAAAGTAAAACAGCTATGTCTATTTTTTTCCCTTTTTCTTAAAAACTGTTTCATGCTAATATATTTATCTAAACACCACATAAATAGAAAACAATAATGAGATGTATAGTAAACTTTAAAATATGAGGTCCAATGTAAACTAATTTCATGATTTACAGATTAATTCACTTTAAAAGATTTTATCAATTGTTAATGCAATTTTTTTATAGTCTTGCAAAGGACATAACAATAGATAGAAAGCTACAAAATGCCTTTTTTCTTCACTTTTGAATTTTACTAAAATATCACTCGCTATGATCCATGATTTTGGTATTTCTACACCTTGACTACAGGATGTATAATTAGAATTAATATATTTTATTGAAATTCACAATCGTTAATAACTATTAGAGGTTTAAAGCACTTACTAACAAATAATTAAGATAGATTTCTTATAAATTCTCCATTAATATTACAGGGACGCCAACTGCTCTGCTTTCTGCAAAAATTTAAAGAAATTGTGAGTGAATAAAACAGTTAAACTTGTAGAATAAAAATTATAACGTCTAATCTTTAAGTGTCACCACGAGATAACTTCAACAAAGTTGCATTTCATATGATAATTTGAATTTTGAGATGAAGCGGTGGAAAAATTACTTAAAAGCAAAAATATTAAACTAAAAAAAACTTACATTACGCTACCACTAGAAAATATTTTTTTTTAGAAAGTGGAGCAAGTTGGCATCTCTGACATTAACAGGCTAATTTAAGTTAATAAAGACTACTCTCATACTCTGTTAAATCTCTACAACATGTATATTCCATCAACATGTATATATCAACTCTTGATGTTTTTATACAACATTATTATGTAGTACCCCAAATTTTGAATCACACTTTAGATTGATGAAGATTCCACTTTAGATCAACGGAGTTTTTCCAATTGCTTTTATGGCAGATTTCTAGTAGGGTTTTTTGAAATTATGATAATTTTATGGCATTTAATTGAACAGCAAAATACATTGGTTGTCATGTAGTTTTGTCAATTGCTATTATTATTTTAGATCAACAGTTTTTTTTCTTTACCAAACCTCCATGGATTAATAGAAAATTACTATGTGCTGCAAACATCAAATCACACAATTGAATAATCACACTTTTGATGCATTCTATCAGCAACGATTCTACCATAAAATTTACGTATATTTAATAAACATATTTTTTAGCAATTCTTACAATGAAATTTTACATTATATCTAAAGACAATCATTTGACTAAATCTCCACCACAGCATTGAATTCCAAATATATGATACTTGACAAATTTTATTAAAAATTTTCTTGTTTTATTTAAGAAAAACTTTGTTAATGTTAGTTTTTGATGAAAAAATCATCAAAAAATTTTGCAGTGTAATCAACAGATTTTATAAGCAAATTAATGAAAATGTAGCAAATACAAGCTAGGAGATAAAACTAAGATACTAATTTTGATATATTTTTTGGTAACAAGCCATATTTTTGAAGCACTATAATCTCTTTAATGTCCCTTAATGTTAAAATAAAATAGGGTTACTGTAATTATTCTCAGTAGTACAAAACGTATTTAATTTTTCTAGAATATTAGTGTTAATTTGTATTTGCATACTGCTTGAATATTTAATCCAATGCTACGTTCATTTAAATATCTTGTAGAAAACTAACATGATTAAAAAAAACTATTATTTCATTGTTTATGATCTTAAGTAATTACATAACGTTTTAGATTAAAAAAATTATTAACACAAACAACATAAAGAACACAGGAGCCAGATTTCTTTTAACATTTTCACGTTTAGATAGTCTTTAATGTTAATACTTCATTCTGAGAATCCCATATAAATATTTATATGATATTTAAAGAAATAAATTAACGCAGCAAATTTGGGTAACTTTTTGTAGCTGTCCAAATCTTAGCAAAATTACAATGTACATAAAAAATATGCGTAATAAATTAAAAGATACCAGGGTCTAGGACGATTGGAAGAAAGATTGTTTTTAAAAATTATAATAAAAGAAAAATAATATTTCTGAATCTTGAACGTAGACTATGGATTTTAAAATATTCTTACCAGACAATTTTTTATTACATTAGCCATAATATCTCGATGAAATAGCAAATAAAAATTTAAATTTCACACACGATGTTCCCTTTGTTGACCTTGCCGGAGCGGAGCTTAACATACATGATGCCACAGCATGTAGCTAGAAGAAAAAAAAATTTTTCCAATCAAATTTTTTTAAACTTTTTAAATTTTAACTATTTTCTCCAGATATAATAAATTTTCGTCTGCTATATTCAGTGTTTGGTAATCTGAAGACGACAATGATAAGTTTTGCCTTTCGCCTATAAGCATTGTTGAACGAATTCGAGTGATTCAGTTTTCTCTTTTATTGATACCAAAAAGTGTCAAAAGTTACGTATTTTGATTGACAATGAGGATAAATTTGTTTAAACACATTAAAAAACTGAATTTGCGGGACTTTTCTTGAACAATAAAAAATATTAATGTTGCTGAATCCATTTAAACAAGGGTGGGGGAATGGGCATGGTAAAACCACAAAACCGGTTATTACTTTGCAAGGAAAGCAAGAGATAGTTCCATGTGTTCATGTCCAAGTCATTATATCAATGCTCGAAAATTTCTGTACTATATTTTAATTCACGAACTAGTGCAGGTAATAACATTGTTCAAGAACTTAGTTATTTATGAAAAGAATTTAACATTATACCGATCATTTTTTTCTCTATGCTCATCAGAACATTCTTTTATTCTGCATGATAAGCAGGGTAACTCTTGACATGACACCGATTATAATGCGTTTTAATATCAGTCATCATTTTTGATACATTTATATGTTGTTTTTTTTTTCCTTCCTGATTTAATGTGCAATAATAATAGTTCTTTTTTAAGATTATTTCCTGTTACATGAAATTAATATTTGAAAGGGAAATTATTCTGTTTTTATAAATAAATAAAAAATTAATATTTTTGTGTATTTGTGATGATTATAAATTTAATAAGAGTTTGTAATTTTTTTTGTACATTTCATATAAATCGAATTATGATTAGAGTTTACTGATTAAATTTTTTTCATTTGTAAAAGAGTTCAATGGCATTTATAAACTGAGCATCAAATGAAGTAGATCTAAAAAAAAAAAAAAAAAAAAAAAAATGTTTTTTACGGGGAANGAGGAAAAATACAGATGGGATTTTTTTGACAGAATTTCATTCTTTTTTTATAATTCTCCCCTTTAATCACCTTACTCAAGTGTTCTGGTAAACTGAATGAAGCATGTTTTTTGTTGAGAATGTGTTTTTCTTATCACTGCTACATAGGTTTGAACGCAAAAAATAAAAATTGCTTAAAATAAATGTTGAAATTAAAAATAATCAACTAATTTTTCTGTAATGGATGTCAGAAGTCATAAATGTTTATTCATAATGCATAATTTCATTTACACTTTAAAATTTCATAAAAGTCATAAATTTATAAAATATGGAATCAATTCCTGAAAAATATGCAATATTGTCTTCAATATACTGAATTACAAAATTAATTCTTTTTTTTAATAGCTAAAAGTCTTAAAATTTGATAACTGAGTACTTTGATTCGATCTCTGCCTGTAAATATTTTAATGCAATTGTTTTCTGATTTTTAATAATCAATATTATTAATTTGTATAGTTTTGAATATTTATGCATATATAATGAAAAGTTCTGTGTCAACTTTTACGTATTATTCAAATCAATTTGTATAGTTTTGAATATTTATGCATATATAATGAAAAGTTCTGTGTCAACTTTTACGTATTATTCAAATCATCTGTCTTTTATTTTTATTTATAAAATATAGTTTTTCTGAAAAGTGCAAATTTAGAGTTAAGAATTTCTACAAATTTGGTTCAATTTTTTACTTTACATATTATGTGGGGGTCTTTTTATAAAACTATTCTACTGGGCATTTATATGGCATCTTTTGATTATCATACTTTCTCAATTAGTTAATACTTACCATTCCATAATTATGCATATTTTTATTATAAACAGCTTGCTAAAGTTATAAACTATTATTTATTAAAGTAATACAAACTTTTGCATATACAAGTGGGTTGGAACCCATTTTATAAGAAAATCTATAAACCAATCCAATGTTCTCAGCAAAAAACTTCTTTCTTTTAATTAATGTCATGACAAGATTTTTTCATGGCACTGCAGCCTAGAACAGCCATGGTCGTTTCCATCAGATGCCAAGTTCTTTTTCTAAATTGTCCTGTCATCTGCTGGCTGAGTGACCTCTTTTCCAGGTGAGAATAGGTTAGCCAAAAGTCGGTTTCCTCGCAGGATTGGCGTGTTCTACTTCTTGCAAGTGTCCGAGCCGTCTTAAAAAATATTTTTTAACCATATTTCCTTTCGAAACATTTTAACTATATATTTATGTATAAATGTTCCTTAGAAACTCCTTTTTTATGTGCCATGATAAGCAATATACAAAAAAAAAAAAAAAAAAAAAAAAAAAAAAAAAAAAAAAAAAAAGCTTACTAAGAAATCAAGTATTACATATTTATAAACATTTAAGAAAACAAAATTTTGTTCTTATTTTAATTTGTATAAAATTTTTTTCTTACTGGATTTTAGATTCTTTCAATTGAAAAAAAATTATATACAACAGGATATAATCAGTATATAAAATTTTTTTGTTCTTTTACATACTGGGCATTCAAATTATATCCATATTTTCAAAGTGAACCATTCTCAATATCTTGTATAATAGCTCCTGAATTAATTTTGAGAAACATACTTGTTAGGTTTTCCAAGAACCAAAGCTCTTTTTTTCCTCTATGACAATGATCATTAGAATTTATATAAGATATGCTGGCTATCAATTTTTGCTAGTTTTTAAATAATTTTTCTGAAATTTAATATAAAAAATATTTTTTAGTTTCTAAATATTAAACATACCGTAACTGGTCAAAAGACTGGTTATTGCATTGTTGTATTGTAAAGTGTTCGTATGTTTAGTATTAAAGGCATTTCAAAAAATTTTATCACCAAGTTGATAAAAAATAATTTCTCTCTCATAAATTAAAAAAAAAAAGTATTATGCCTATTTCAAAATGTTTTTGATAATAAACATTTTAAAGATAGAATATTTTGAAATAAAAAATGTAAATTATATTTTGCCTAAAGCATAAATCTCCTTCTCTTAAATGATTTTTGCTTCAAATATGTATTGGTAAAAAAAAAAAAAAAAAAAAAAAACAGGCTATTACCANAAAAAGAGAGAGAGAGAGAGATACATAGCTGCATCTAGTACCTACATAATATATAGTTTTTTCAAACTAAGAATCTGATGTTAATCTTTACTTTTTACTGTTTATAAATTACCTGCATCTTTAATTTTAAATAAATTCTTGAACTTCATTTGTTTTGATTAAATTTTTTTTCGTTAAAGCTAATTTTATTCTTGAAAAATTTTAATTGTTTGGCACTTTAAATTGCCTTTCATTTACGCATGCATAATTTTGAAACTTTAAAGCTCCCGCTTGGGTGTTTTTTAAGTTTTTTCAGAATTAGTGAATGAGTTAAAAAAAAATAGTTATAATATTCTTTACATTATTATGTTGTTTTTAACCGAAAATCAAGTGGTTGCAGTACTTATTCTAGGGCCACATCTGCCCTCTATTCTACTCTCTTGATGTAGGCACAAAATTTTATTATACTTTTAAGCATTGTAAGATGGTCAAGTTTTCTTTGCTTTGCCACGAAAACATTATTTTTCAATTTATCTATGAATAAACCACTATGTACTTTCTCCGTAAAACGGACTCTCCTGTTACTGGATAGTCATTTATTTTCTGAAACATTGTTTTCTATCTGTACAAACCGGACAATAATTTTTCTATATTTAACAATAAAAAAAAAAAACTGTTTCTGCTTTAAATTCTAAGGGATGAAATATGCAACTTTCTACCATTTTAAAAGCATGTAATTTTTTTTTTTACCTTATCCACAATTTAAAATATTATGCTATATCACTACTAAAAAATCATTCCCTTTATCTTGTCAAAAAATGGAATGCTGCTGCTTGTGTGAAATATTTCAGGCAGTGACATCTTTTTATTTTTTCATCTGCATAATACTAGTTATGAGCGTCCTAAAAGCTGATATGATGCCTTAAATGTTCTCAATTTCGCTTTCCCTTATTATCACCCTCATTCTTATAATCATTTTGGAGACTAAATATGACACAGCTGTGTATAAAAAGAAAACAGAAATCTAGTCATTATGATGTTCATATAAATGAAACATTTATTTAGACATTTGATTAATTGTCTATGACAACTCTATAGAGGCTCCTGCCTTACAGGTATGTATTGTTGCTTTTTTTTTTCTGTGCATAGTGGGAGGTTAATTTTCAAGAAGGTATTACCAGGTTTCCTATCAAGTGATGGGAAGTGACATGGGACAAAAACAACCTATTCAGTATCATATGACTAACTTTAATGTCTGTGTAAATAAGAAAAACATATTCATTTCTCTGTAGCTACATCTAGAATTATGTATACATATATATCAAATGTTTTCACATATTTTTCTTTTGTATTGGAAAAAAGTATTTTTTAAAGTTTAAATACATATAATTGTAAATAATTATTGTAGATTATTTAAATTTTTTATATAAATGCAATTATTCTAAAAACAATTCACGACATTAAACTTCATTATTAGTGTTCCCTTCCCGTAAGCAGACAATTTTAGTGCTACCAAGAGTGTCCGTTTAACTGAAGTTTCACTGTATATATAATCATTCATAGTTGTAATTTAAGTTGTTAAAAAATAAAAAAACTCTAATTTTTGCATAAAAAACTTATGACCTTTAGTCCATTATCAATTGTATATTTAAATAAAATGTTTTTTCCTCTCTTTTTAATTATGCAATTTACACGAAAAATAAGCGATTAAGTTCTATTTAACTTTCTTTTTAAATTTGTATTTTTCTACGAAATTAACGTATAAAATAGGAAGAAAGAATTCTTATTGTGATGAAAAAATTTCTTTTTTCAAAAAATGTAGCCTAATCATTTATTTTTTAAAATTAATTTATTTTAAATAGTTTTATTCCTATTTCCTTAATATGCAGCCCTAATTTCTTTAATATTTTGTTTAAAAAAAAGTCAGCTGTTATATTTACTGTTTTATTGTTTGTTTATTAAACGCCCACGTAAAATTGAATACTAAGGTCTTTAAAAATAATTATTTTTCTCTTTTAATTGAAGATTACAAGATATTTTATTTTCGTATTAATTGAAAACAGCAATAGTAATAAAATGAAACCTTTCGTGAATCAATAATCATTTTGATATCGCCTTCTTCACCCCTCCCCCAAACTAATGTCAACAAAATAAAAATAGAGAGAAGTGATGATGCTCTGCACAGCAACGTGCATGTAGCTGTTGTTTTGATGAAAATGACAGCAGATGTCACGTGTGTTAAAACACCCAATCAAATTAAAGCTTTGTGCAGCGTCACCTGCGCAAACGGGTGCGCGCCGATCAAATCAAATCCAAAATGCCGTCTAGTTCTGAAGGGAAGTCCGTTTCGTCAACAACGCAGACTGAGAAACCTATTCATTATACGTAAGTTTCTTTAAATCTGCATATTTAAATGGATAATACGAGAAGGTAATGTCTAGTATTTTTTCTGATCGTTTCCCTCCTTATTTAACCGTAGGTATCTCAAAGAATTTCGTGTGGATCAGTGTCCCTTGTTTCTACAGCACAAATGCACACAACACAAGCCTTTTACATGTTTTTACTGGCATTTTATGAACCAGCGTCGTCGAAGACCTGTTCGAAGGCGAGATGGTACATTTAACTACAGTCCAGATGTTTATTGTTCGAAGTATGATGAGACAACGGGTATTTGCCCCGACGGAGATGAGTAAGTTGACAGCACTTGACAACTGCCTACTCTCGCTTGCAGCCATGTTTTGATCTTGGCTTCGCTTACTTTTAAACCTCTATTTACATTTGTATGTTGCCTTACATGTTTTAAAAAGTGTGCAAAACGATAGTTTGTACTGTTTTTTAACTTTTTGTTCATATTTATGATGTTTTTATGTGAGTTATAGCATTATTTAGGTTGAATATTTTCCGACATGTGGACGGTTCTTTTGCTTGTAAACAAAATACGCCATATTAGTCTGTCCCGCCATATTGCGTTGCGCGCGCGCAAGTGTGACGTTATCGATGTCTCCAAGGAGGGGTTTTACAAAATGTACATTTGACAGTAGGTTGTTTACTTTTGAACAGCTGGGTTTATTTATTTACATTTAAATTTTTTAATTTTGTTTTATAAATGGCAGTACATTTAATTAAATTATTATAATTTTCAGTCATTTTAAAGTTTAATTCTAAATTTTTATTGCATATAATTGTACATTTAAAATAGTAGATACAATGTTATAATTTTGTTGGTAGTTGTCATTATTCTAATATGAATTTTCTCTGTAACAACTAGTTCGAAAAAAATAAATAAATTGAATTTAATAAAAAATTGAAAACTATTATTTTTATTTATATATGTATATATATTTTATAAAATTTAAGTTTCCTGCCGGGATCCTATTTTTATTTAACATTTCATGAGAAACAATGGGGTTGTGTAAAATATTTTTGTAAAAGGGTAAGGTCGTATATCTTGAACTATATATATTTTTAAAAATTTTAAAGCACGAAAATATGAATTAATAATAAAGCAATTTGTAACTCATTGTATAGGAAATATATTTTTAAGGATGAGAAAAATGTTAGACTGAAGAAATAAAAACAAATGACATTCTTTTTTTCTTCTTTTTTTTTTACATTTTTATTTATATATATTTTCATTAGAACTGTTAATTCATTAAAAAATATTTCTGTGTAGAAAATATTTGGACAATAGAGGCAGGGTCAAGTTTTTTGAGTTAAAGACTGGTTTATGTTGTCAAGTGTCAAAATTTTGGACAAATTTCATTTTAATTATTAGGGACATTTTATTCGAAGTTAAATCATGCACAATAGTTACATGATGATTATTACTATAATTATGATTCATATAGTATATTTTGTATAAAAAATATATCCAAAATTATTGAAACTATTATCTGGTTTTTCCTATCAAAAGTTTTTGTTCTGTAATATCTGTTACAGGTACTAACTATTAGTTGTTGATTGTTATCAATCTAAATATTAATATAAATTTTTTTATGTCACAATTCAGGCAAATTTTTTTAAATTAAATAAAACTAAAGTGGTTGCCAATAATTGTTTTATCTCTTATGAAATGTTTCTATTGGATTCTTTGTTAATACTTATATAAGCATGAACGTTGCCTGTAAATCATGATTATAACATATTCTTTAATAAGCAAACTAATAATGATTTAAAAAAAAAAAAAGATTAATAATTATTTTTTTGATGAGTTATTCCCTATTCAAGGTTAATTTATTTATTATCAATATTTAGTGTCATTACTAAGGTAAATTTTCTAATTCTGTGTTATTTTAGTATGTAGTATTTTTAGTGCGTTATAGTAGTTTTAGTATGCCTACATTCTAGTCTGATAATGCTTTAGAATTGTAGAATGTTTTAATAAATGTGCATATGAACTAATTGTTTGTGTAAAATTATCAGTAAGAAGGGTGTCATGTTCAGTGACTTTTGTTTTTCTGAGCAATATGTAGTTACAGTAGTTTTTTAAATTAATATTCCATTATCAGTTTGAATTAATTATTTATTTAAAGCATTTTATTATCAATACTATTATTCATAATTTGTTAAACTATTATTTATGAAGACAGATATCTTTATAACTCAAATAGATTTGATAAAATAAATAATTCATCTAAAGATTTTTAATATTCTCTTAGCCTTATAGTCTTAATTTTTACTATTTTGGCATATTTAGCAGTTCAAATCTTTGTCTTGGTTGAAAATAAGTTTCTTTTTTTCTTTTTTTTTTTTTTTTNCTTCAGTTAGTTTCTTTTTTTTTTTTTTGTTTATTTAAAACAAACTGTTAAATAACTTCGTCTTAAAAATTAATTTAGCTATTGTAAATTATAATTGTGAAAACTTTTTGTAACTAGGAATTAATGTTATCAATAAATAACAGAAAAATATCCACTTTCTTAAAAAAAAATGCATATGTGATAAAAAATCTGAAAATTTCTAATAAGCATATATGTTACTTAATGTTCCAGTCCCGCAGTGGACTGATCGTTAAGACACGGTTCCCAGCAGATCACTGAAGTCAAGCATCACTGGCTACTGTCAGTGTGCGGGTGGGTGACCACTTGGATCAGTCTGCGTAGGGACAGAGGATGAGCGGTATTGGCCCTCGTTAAACTGTGCTACCGTAAAGTGCTCGACTTCGCGTGCAGGTCATCGGGCTACCGAAGCGGGGGTGCCATCCCCTCCGCAGAGGATCAAAATTGTGATGGCATGTCTTTGGATCATCCTCCGGGATGTTTCCCAGACCGTCACCAATAGCCAATTGTGCAGCTCTAGTGCGACGTAAATTAACAACAACAACTACTTAACGTTCCAGCCTAATATGTAAATAAAAATATATGATCAAAATAATGTTTCAGTTATACATGTAAAAGAATGATTACTTTTACTATATTTAAAAATTATTATATTAATTAAATTTAATTATATTAATAAAATTATTATATTATCATATGTGTTTATTTAATGTAACATACTTACATTAGCAGTTAAACTCCAAATTAAAAATATTTTATCGATATATATTTCCTATTTTTTTTTCTTTTAATGTTATATTTAAACTGAAGGTATTTATATAAATAATAGAAATTTAGGTCTATTAAACGATTTTTTTCTTTAAAAAAAAAGTTTTATTTTTACTGTTTAAACCAGACAACCCTGTCTTTGTCTTATGTTTTTTTAAATTTTGAACATTGACAATTATGTTTAAGTTTTGTTTCAATGAAGTTTATTATTTATTTTTTAATATAAACTTATTAGGTTATAAATTTAATATCAATTTCATAATGACAATTTAAAAAGGAGAAAAAATAAATTACAAATGATTTTTTTCCCCTCTATAAATTTATTTAAGGAAAAGTACCATGCATAATGTAGTAAGATAGTTCCGTACTCGTTACAATTTTAAGAATAAACTGCAATGATTAGTAAATAAAATACCAATAAAAGAAGTTTTCAAATCTTGACCTGTCATGGCAACTGCAATCGCCAAGGCACCCAATGAATTTTAAACATTCTATTTTTTAAAACAAAAATTAACGTGTAGATGGTTTTGGTCGTTAATAAGTTGTCTGTTAATAATTGTTTATTGCTTTATAAATCTCACGATATGTGTAATATATTAACTGGAAATATCAGTTTCCTTCATAGCAAACCAGACTTTAATGATCTTGATTTTAAGATCTGCAAATAAAAATTTCTTTTAAAGATTTAAGAACTAATTTTGTATTTTTATTTGTTATGCAATGTAAATGGGTAATTAAATAATATAATTGTCTTTCAGTTGTGCATATTTACATCGTACCGCTGGTGATACAGAGAGACGCTACCACCTTAGATATTATAAGACAGGAGTTTGTGTATATGATACAGATACAAGAGGATATTGTGTTAAAAATGGCCCTCACTGTGCATTTGCGCATGGTATTCATGATTTGCGTAATCCAGTTTATGATCTGCGAGAATTACAAGCAATGGAAGCTAATGAAGAAGGAGCCAATGGATTATCAGGACCAAATAACTTAGATAAAGAAAGAAATGCCATTAATGAAGATCCAAAATGGCAAGGTGAGATATTATATTCTTTGTAAGTTTTATGAACTTATGTTGAAACTTTTTATTAGAAAATATCAGAATCTCATGATTTTTTAATCATTGTAAAGTTAATTTTATTATTATTCCCCTTCACAAATTGATGTAGTCCCTTGTTTCTATGACTAACTAGTTTTTTTCAATAGTCCCTAAACTTAGCCTGCATTGCAACATGGTGCCTGTAATTAATTTAGGCGTGTTGGTTATTCTGTAACCATATTAAAATTAAGTTTTCAATAAAATGCTATGTTAAAGTATTTATGCCATTTTTAAATTAAAGGTGTGAATAATTTTGCATGCCCTCCAGTGTTTGAAGTTTTCATTAGTTATTTTTTCCTATTTTTTTCATTAGTTATTTTTTCCAAAGTAGTGAAATTAAGCAAAAATTCATGGCACAACTAGAATTTCTTTATACCTTTATAAAATTTTAAGAACATGTATGTACAACCACTTGATATTTGATTTGTCTTTGGTACATTAGATTGTTTTAAATTTATGAAATTTTATTATTTTTTTAAAAAGATTCTTAAACTAGGAAAATAATTTTTTTTCATAAACAATGTAATGCTTCAATTTTCTTGTTCAGCATCTTGTAGGGATGTAACAAACAGTGATTTAGCCGAATATCAAATATTTGGTTAACAAAATCTGCCAAATTTGGAATATTCAATGGTGGAATGGCAACAGTTTTTTAAAAATTAATCATCCATAAATATTATTTATGTATAAATAACTTTAGTCATTATTGAAAAATCATAAAAACTTTGCTATATTATTGGTACGGAGTAAGGAGAAAAAATTATAATTGAAATATTTAAGATAATAAAGGTAATTAGATGTTAAGATAATTAGGACTATTTAAGGTAAATTAAAAACTGACTAACAGCTGTAAAAAATGTAAAGCATGTTATAAAGTTGCAAAAATAAAATAAGTCAAAGAGAAAAGAAATATCCTTTTATTTTTTAAAACAAAATTTTAATGGTAAAAATATTTTCCAGAATAAAAAAGTACATAAATTGCTAAAAGAGATAAAGTCTATCAGAAATGCTTTTGAAAATGCTGTGCTGTAATAAAAGTGCCCATAAAAAGATTATATACAAAAGCAAAACAGAAAGATTAAAAATTGATCTTAATTTTTTAAAGGAAATTCTAAAGCTAAACAACAAAATTTTTCTCTCACCGTATTTTCATAAAAAAAAATCTTAATTGCCATGTCATAATAAAAGAGCCAAATAAAAACAAAAGTTCAATATTGAAGAGAAAGCTTGATAGAAACCAAAACATAAATAGTTTTTATTTTTTCAACAAAAAATTTAATGTTGAAAATATCAATTCAAAATTTTTTCATTGCTGTATTTTCAGGAAAAAGACTATAAAAGACTAACCTTCATTAGAAACTCTCTTTAAAAAGTTCTGTGTCAGAATAAAAGTGCTGATAAATAAGAAATTTAATCAGAAAAGCAAAAGAGAAACAGAAGCAAATTGTTCTTAATTCTGAATAATAACTTAAACATTCTAAATCAGTTTCCTATGTTATCAATTATCTGTCTTATGCATTGAAAAAAATGTCAATAAAATAATGAATCAATTAAAAACGGTCTGTTAAATGCTGTTCTAAACAAAACAAAAATTCAAAAAAGAAAGAAAAAGCTTTTATTTCTTTAAACAGAAAGTGTTGAAAAAATTACATAATTGATTTCCTGAATATAATTAAAAGAAGAAAATAATATGCAGTAGGAAACTCATGGTTCAGTAAAGTAATCTAGTTTCAATTCTTTAAATTTCGCTTTTCTATTTGTGTTTCAGAACATAAGAAGTTGTAACAAATATGTGAAAAACTGTTGCTAATAATGTTATGTGTATAGTAAAAATTACTATTTTACATTATTCTGTATTAAATCTATACAAATTTCGAAAAATGCTTGCCAAATATTTGTTTCATTCTTAGTATCTTGTAAGATTTTTCAATGTAATAATATTGTTTTCAGATACAAATTATGTGCTAGCCAATTACAAAACTGAGCAATGTAAAAGACCTCCTAGATTATGCAGACAAGGATATGCTTGTCCATCATTTCATAATAACAGAGATCGTCGTAGGAGCCCTAAAAAATGCAAATATAGGTAAACATTTATTTCATTTTTACCAAAGTAAATGGATAATTATTTTGTCAAATATGTTGATTATGCATTTTGTTTCAGATCTACACCTTGTCCAAATGTTAAACAAGCTGATGAGTGGGGAGATCCTGTAAATTGTGAAAGTGGAGATGGTTGCCCATATTGTCATACACGAACAGAACAACAGTTTCATCCTGAGGTAAATTTGCAATGTTTTCAAATTTATGCATTAACTGCTAAAATCTTAAAATTCCAAAATTTCTTTTTAACTCTTGATTAATATAGTAATGTTTCTTGGAAGTGGTGAAAGAAATTGTCTTCAAAAATATATTTAAGAAATTACAATCTTGGAAGTTTATAATATTTTGGATAATCCTGTTTTAAAAGGAAAAAAACCAATCAATAGTGTAACTTCCAAATAAATAATTTCTTTGCTTAATTTTTATTTTCCCCTTAACATCACAGTTATGTTTCTATATTGAATTAATTTGAAACATCCCCAATTTTTCTTATTTATAAATATTACAGTTCTTAAATGGTTCATTAAGTATTTTTTAATAAATTTAAATAACGTCTAGCAGTGTGATAAAATTATTTCGGTAGGAATCGATGAGTAGACAACATTATCTAGTGATTTATTTTAAAATTCCATCTCACCTTTCCCTATTAGTGGTTGTTGATATTATTCAAATAACTCTGAAAGAAATTCTGTGAAATAGTTCAATCAAACGATTTTGTTAAATGTAAAATGTGGAATTATTTCATCATAACTTTATTAATTGTAAACTATAACGCTGATAGATCGCTTTCAAACTATGGTGTTGAAACTGCTACTTTAAAAAAAATAATTTCTTTCAATTAATTTTTTTAAAATGAGTTGTCATCTCTACTATTTATTTATGCTCGTGAACTTTGCTAACAAGAAAATCGTATGTTTCTTTTTCTAGATATATAAATCAACAAAATGTAATGATATCTTGCAAACAGGATATTGCCCAAGAGGTCCTTTTTGTGCATTTGCCCATGTAGACAGTAAGCAATTATTTTGTTGTGTATTTTAGCTTCTTAAATCGTTGAAATATTGTAACTTATTTGTCTAATAAAATTCTATTTGTAGAGGAAATATCTGCTGTTCGAGATCTAGGCCCTGACCATACTACCGATTTGGCAGCAATATTATCAAATGCATTGCCAGCTACTACTAGCAACCAAAACATTCCTGTAAGTATTTTGATAATATTTTAAAATATATTTCCCTTTGCTTTATATTTATACCTACTTATATAATGTGTAATTGTAATGTTCCTTTTGCTTCGGCTACAAACTTTTAACTGTTTTCCCGTCTTCCGTCTTCAGATTTACTAGTGATCAATAGCGATATCNCCTTTTTAATAAAGATATTACTTATCAATAAATAATATTATTTAAATTTAGGTGCTATAATTAAGATAAATTAATTATTAATTTAATTAGTGTAAAATAATTAGTGTTAGAATAATTAGTGTCAACAATGAAATATTAAATACTAAAATGAATAAAATAACAATTATATAGTTTCCCAACCATAACATAATGTGTAATTGTAATGTTCCTTTTGCTTCGGCTACAAACTCTTAACTGTTTTCCCGTCTTCCGTCTTCAGATTTACTAGTGATCAATAGCGATATCTGGCATGTGTGATAATCAGCAAATTCCAGATTAGAAAAGTTATATTTTTTAAAAAAATATGGTCACCTCAATAATAACAGTGAAGTTTTCTTAAAATTCATGCTCAGGATCATTGTCAAATGTTCTGACTAGATGAATTTTAAAGTTCACTTTTTACTAAAAATAAAATTTAAAAAAAAAGTTTTTCTTTTCAGGCTTTTTTTTTTTTTGCTACTAAAAAGTCTGTATTCCAAAATTCCAATTATCGTATGGAAAAAAATAAATATTTTTTTTTCGGAATTTATTTTATAAACTTTTGAAAATTCTTGCTTTAATACAAAATAAAGTTTTAGTTATGCTTATATTGAACTAAATTAAATTTTTTTTTAATGTTCTGATCATTTTATTATATATTCTTATTTTATTTTATTTATTTATTTATTTTTTTTAAATTTTAAAAAGTTCTGGTTCCCTGAGCTTTCTGGATAAACAAGCTTTTATTGTAATTTGTTTTTGTAATTTAAATCGAATTTTTTTGTTGACATATGTATCACAATGTGATTATAATAAGATTTTGATTATTATTAACCTATTTCAAAAACCAGCCAGTTTCCTTCTTTTCTTAACCTAAATTAAAATATATTTTATAATGACATCTACCGAGTTTTTGTTGCTATTTTTGTGTTAAAGTATTTTTTTATTTTATTTTGCTTTATTAATCATTATTTTTTAAGATTACTATAAATAGCATATATCTACTGAATTTTATACCACATTTCTAATGGTCAAATGTTTTATTTAGGAAGAGAAAGAAGATAGTGTGACTTCTAAATCTGATGCTTTGAGTAATGAACAGGAACAACCTAACACAAATCGTGTTACTAATTGTCTACCAGAAGTTCAGGTATTTCATATTTTTTAAATATCCTAGGCATGATTTATTTTAAATCATAACAATATTATGATTAATCATAATAACATTTTTTCGTACAAAGTGATCTAATCTTAATATCTATTTAACTAAAATTCTTTTAAACTAAGTCTTAAATGTGGGAATTCTTAGAGAACCATATCTACATATGCACCATATTATGACACAATTTGCAAGTTCCAGTCACCTAAGATATTGTGAGTAACATATATATAATTACTTGAAATATTCAACTTCCTAAATTAATAAATTTTTGAATTACGCATTTTTCTTTGGAATAACTTTTAGTGAACTTTGAACAAAATGGATTCAATTTAGTGTGATTTTAAAATATTATTTTGATTTTCACTGTTAAGTTATAATTCCTTAAATTATTTGTAGCTTAAAAATTTTTTTCTTTATTTTTTCCCAGCAAATAAATGCAGTTGACCATTATACAACTAGTAATCCTTTACCAATGCCTCCTATTAGTAGACCAAGATCTTGCAGTACTTCAACTAATCATTCTGGTGAATCAATGCCTAATTATGCTAAAGCACCTGGTTCTGAAAGAGAAGATCGAGAAGTATGCTCTGATAGTTTTCCATAATTAGTTTCTGATTTACTGAAGAGTTTTGATTTAGTAAAACAATTTTTCAAGTATAATTTAATCATTTAAGCCTCATACGTAATGAAATAGTTGCTACTTTTTAAATCTTGTACGAGATATAAGTTTTCATTAAATTCTCCTTTACCTTGGTTACTGGCATATATATACTTGTATATCTTTTTACTTGGATAAATACATGTGTATACACCTGGTAACAAGAAATGTAAAAGTAGTAAGTGTATCCAAGATTTAAGCATTTATCAAAAGCTTGAAATTTAAAAAAAAAAAAGTCTGTTTTTCTAGTTTCGAATTTCTTTTGGCTGCTTTGGGGTTTTATTTTTCAGCAAGCTTATTTTCGACTAGATAAACATCTAGTGACTTTTTTTATCCCTGTTAGACATTTTCCTTCCTTTTGTTTTTGAGTTAAGTATAATTTTAACTCCTTTTAATTAGCTTCAATGTGAAATGTAATACTTTTTATCTTGAGTTTGGAAAAGTGTAACTGAAAGACTTTTATAAAATTTTTATACTTATAACTTACCGTAATTTTGCTCTTTAAGTTTTTTTTTACTTAAATGCAATGTTATGGAAAAAGATTTTAACTCATGTATTTATATTTTAATTTATTCTTTACCTCAGTTAATGGAGTCAAAAAATTTTGTTTTTAAGGATTTAAATTTCTTTTACAGTCGGCAATTCGTAGACAATTACAAGCTATTGATGATGATCCTGCTTTAGAACCCATGGAGAAAGCACGTAGGAAACAGAGTATTTACTTGGCTTGTGATGTTAACTTAGTTCATCTTTCTAGTTCAATGAAGGCAATGTCTCCTTTAGCCACATCTTTTTACCCAGCTGCAGATACTGTTGAATCTGTTGTAGGTTAGTAATGACATAATTCTTAAATTCACCTTAATGCTTTCTTAAGAGACTTTCATTCTTCTTTTGCAGTTTAAGGTTTTTAAATTAAATGAGTGAATATGTGATTTGATTACTAAAATATAAATGCCTAAAATTGTATTATCAGGAATGTTCTCCCTAAGCATTTTTAGACGGGCGGCCCACCCTGCCTACCCTTTGTTCCCTATAAAATGCCCTTTTTGTAAAAGTAAGCCACCATCCCTTAAAAACACAGCCTTTTTATTTATGTTCCATTAAAAAAATTAAAAGTTTCCTGTTTAAATAATGATTACATACTGGTAAAAGTATCTGTGTTTATAGGTTTAATTCTGATTACTATTACTAATATTAATGTTCAGATTATTCTCAACTAGCTAAATTTTTATAAGTATCTCTTTTTTAGGGGATAGGGAGCTGGGTTCATAAATTTTTAATCTTAAATTTTAAAATTATTTTTGAAATAAATGCCTTTTTTTTAAATGCAGCTTTATATTTCTTATTGTATTGATCAAATAGTATAAAGAATATTATGGAGAATTTAAATGATAAAAAAACGTTTTTTATGAAACTTTTATTATGAGTGTTATGTGGGAGTTTATATTTTGTGAAACTTGTTGCAGAGTGGTTGCAAACCATGTTTGGCCTTGTTATATAATTGTCTTGATTGCGCATATTGCTGTACTTTTGTGAAGCCTGTTGCAGAAAGCTAAAAAAATGTTTCCTGGTAGATAATATTTGATATAGATCTGCCATTATATTTATGAAATGTATGTTTTGTGTTAAAAACTGATCGTAATACTAGTGAACAATATTGGAATGTGATGAAAGTGGCACCAATAAAAATCACCAAAGTAGTTAGCGAGAAAAAAACTCTTCAAATATCGAGTGATATTTGTCTATTCCGCATTCATCAACAATTTATATTTTTTGCTCATTATGATATAAGTGTGTCCCCTGATGAAGTGCTGCTTTTGCGAATATGCATATCTTTACAATTTCGTTTTGCTTACTTTTGGTTACTAATTAAATTATTTACTTTTCTCTTAATAATATAGCATTAGTTATGTTTTAGCAAACAGTCATTGTTAATTTTAAATGGTTTGAATTTTTTAGGGAATGCTTTAGATGATTTAAGCATAGAAGACATTAATGTGGAAGCTTCACTAAATAGGGAACTAATTAATGATTCGGTAGCTTCAACAAATTCTATAGCTGGACTATCTGGTTCAAGTAAATACTTCATTTTTTTAAAAAAATATTTTATTGTAATAGCTGCATGATTTTATTTGAGAACAATACCCAAAAAGTGTAGTTTTTTTAAAATTAAGTATACAACTTTTTAACAGGCCTACTTGGAGCTTCAGCACCTGTAAATATACCTTGCAGTGGTGATCTTCACGATCGTGGTTTGCACAGTATGTCACCCCCTGTAACATCTCCACTAGGTTCTCTATCTCGCAGTTTACAATTAGGTTCTTCATCGCTAACATCAGATCATTCTTTAGATAAAGTAAGAAAATTTCACTTTTATTTCAAAATGTAGTTAACTGGTAGCAATAAGTAATGCTTTTATTTCTATTTCACAGTACGATTGCTTTAATGAAGGTTCTATGTCTTACATATCCATAGTATTTTATCATGGGCATAGAATATCTGATCCATATTGGATTTGCATTATCAAGGTTCAACTCGGTACTCTAGTAATTTTCGATTCGGCAGAGAGGGTTATGAAACACCCGAGTTAGGCATTTAGCTAGTTAGCTTGAGGTCAAGGAGATCAGTCCAACTGCGGGAATTTTTTACATCTGCACTGTGGTCAGTGTGTGCTGGGATTTACACGTTAACCAGTGGTTGCTTGACTTTGAACCTAGCTTAAGAATAGATAATAGGCATGTGAAATAGATTTTATTTAACCATATAGTATTAATAAAATAATTATATGTTGAAATCTTAACTGTTAACTTTTCTGACTTGGCTGTAGTTAGCTGTACTTTTCCGACTTAGCTATATTTTTTAAGAATTTGGTCAACATAGATATTTTGTGTGCTTATATATAAATACTTCCATGTTTTCTCTACATTTTGAACTTATAAATATATATATGATGTATGCTTGCATAAATAAAATTAAGTTGCTCAGATGGGTCGAAAATCCTGAAAAATTTTCACAATTAGACTTGAACTTATATTTTGGTTGTAAAAGTTTTACAGGGTGCACTTTTTTTTTGAAAAAAGTTTATTTGATTTCTAATTTTAAAATGTTCTAGGAGTTAACAAGTGTTTTTTTCTTTTTACAGGCTGCTGCTGCATTTTACGGACATTCCGGCTCTTTTACCAATTCTAAATTTCATTATCCAAATTCTAGTTTATATGAATTTTCTGGTACCCAGAATATGTCTCCTTCAAATAGGATGGGTGCACAACAATCTTTAGTTCAAACTATTAGTTCTTTTAATTCATTAGGTTCTTCTAATTTATCTGATCTTCAAAGGTTGAGAGACGATTATTCTACAAGTAGATTAAAAATGCCATGGGATGACAACATTCAAACTAGATCTGTAAGTACAAAAAATTATTTTTAATAGCTAGCTACGTTTTTAAGCTCTCTTATTCTAGTTCTTGATTCTTTTATTATATTTTTAATTAATGTATCTGAAGTATATTTAAAATATGTTTATTCATGGGTTGCTTTACAAAGTCAAGAAAATTCATAGTCTTCTCTGAAACTTTGAACAATTCAAAAAGAATTTTTATTCTCTTTTTTAACTATATTTCTGATCTGAAGCTATACCGAAATATTTATTTTTAATGAAATTTCATCTATATGCCCAATTTACTTTCAAGGTTTGTTTAGCTCCCTATTATTTACATGGCATAAATGATAGGGAGTTAAAGTAGGTAAAAAAAGTAGGTAAAATATAATTTCAAATCAATTATAAACAGTGCTCAACGCTATACACAACTTTTGTCTGTAGTTAAGTTTTTAAGATAAATCTGATTCATATACCATGTGACGGACAGGAGGTTAGAATAGTAAAATTTAAATAAGTTAGAATTTAGTAGATCAATAGATAATCCTAATTTGTTTATTTTTTATACATGCCGTTTAGTAGAAGTGTATCTATATATTAGTCTAGAATTAAAACAGCCTTTCATTACTATAACATTTTGTCAAAGTTTTGTGGTTTTATTTATTTATTTTTAAATTTTCCATTTAAGAATGATTTATAACCTTCATTAAGAGTTTTTTAATATTTATTCCTATTGTGACTTTAAAATATCAGTTTTTAAATTTCAATTCTTTTAAATATTTCATTATGAGAAAGTAATCTTAAAAGAGAAGAAAATTTTTTAAAAACATTGCTGCAAAAAGAAAATAAATATTTTATTACAATATTTTCTCTCATACATCAATAAAAGCTTTGTTTATAAATAATTTTTTTGTGTTTTAATACAGGTCAAGGAAGGTAAGAGAAATTTGCAGACCCTTCACAATTTTTTTATTGTAATAAGTGATCTTGACCTTTCACAGATCATTTTTAAGTATAAATTTGTACTTTCCCAAGCATTTTATTCTAATAGCAGACCTGTCTCACCTTGTTAATTGTTAAATTTGTATAATTGTAACTTTATTTTTACACAAAATTAGAAATTATCAAGACTGATTAGTTTATGATAAGTTAAGACTGTTAAGTTTGAATTATGTGCATAAGAGTAGTGTTATTTATTTGAAAAAAATTTAAACGTCCTTCACCATTTTTTTATGTTAAAGAACTCCAATTTTCGAGATAAGGAATTAATAATTGGTTTTATAAATGCTAGCAATCTATAAGTGTATGTTCGATTTAAGTATTCATGCAACATAAATAAGTTTTATGAAAATGCAAAAATAACGAAGGGGTAAAGAATAATCATCAAGACAAATGTTTAAGGGCAACTACCAACTATATAAATATTGCAAAATAATTTGTAAAATTCTATAGTATTTTATTAGGCTTGCGTCTAAAGTAACGTTTTCAATTAGGTTTTTAATACTTATGAATTATGGAAGCGAGAAGCTGAAGAAGCTTCTAGAAGGGAACGTATAGCTGAACAACAAAGAGATGAAGTAAGTTTTGGTTCTCCTTTGCTAGCAAGTCAATGAAAGTTAATTCCATCTGGTGCTTATTTCTAAACAATGAGCTTTTTATGTGTGTTTCAGATAAGCTTTTAGTTTTTATTGCCTCAAATATCGTTAGTTAAGTTCATTTTTTACTAAATTTGTAGACAGTCAAAAAAATATAATTTCAGTACTAATAAGTCTTTAGGAAAATTTTGTATGTCTTGTTTTTGGACCAATAAAAATCTTGTAATTTATAGGAAGGTGAATAGGTTTTAAATCTGCTTATTGTTATCCTTTTCAAATGCTTTTTAGTTTTGGAATTCTTAAAAAAAAAATTGCTTTAATATACAACATGTATTTAATTTTAAATATTGCATAAGGGTCTTAGTTTTACTTTTTTTGGAATAGAAGAATTGATTTTCCATCTAATATCTGATTAAAGAGAGTGCTGCATATTGTAGAGTTAGTCGAAAATTGTTAGCAAGCCATATCAGTTTCATTAAATTCATTTAACACATAAAATAAATTGTTATAAATGTTACTTATCTTATAACAAAGACTTCATTTTTTTGTGATCATTGTATCAATAAAGAGAAGTGGTATAGTTTTAAAATTAAAAGCATATGTCAGACACAATAACTACAGAATATTTAGATTTTTTAAAAAATATAATTTAGGTTGGAATTTCTATAGAAGCTTTTTTTTTTTTGCATCAAAAAAATTTAAAAAAGAAATCTGTAGTTGCCTTGACATGAAACTGTTATTTCATGTCTAATTGCTTTTATGCATGACTTTTTTTCTGTTTTTAGACAGGAAACTTTTTTTAGCGTATTTCACTATGTAGCTTTTATATGTATTGCTAGATTTTTATTAGCTTAAAAAGAACTGTTTTTGGAGGGAAACATAGTGTTAAATAGTTTATTCAAGCATATTTTTTATTGTAATATACATATGAAGAGCTCTGGACAATAAGACAAATTTTTTCAGATTGAGACAGTTTTATATTGCTGTTGCTTGGTAGTGTTTCCAGTACAGTAATTTTAAAATTTCTAGCACTTCCACTTGATAACAGCATAATACACTAAAATATCTTATTGCTTACCCAGAAATTATGTTTTTAACCAACTGCTATTCTGTGTTACTGTTTTAAAATTTGGCTTGCTTTATTAAGCATTTTCTAGAGAAAAAAAAATTTCTTCATTTTTTGGTCAACAATTTCATGCATTATATTAATCTATCAAGTCTAATGACAGTGTATATGCAGTAAAATAACAACCTCTGAAGAATGGCCACATGTTTTTTTGAACCAAATATTTTCTTTAGGTTTAGCATTATAGAGAACCTCTGAACAGGGATTTCTGAATTATGGCCTTTCCTTGCTAGAATGAATTTTGTATTTAGGTGTATCTTAGACAACTTTTTCACAATTTTCCTCCTTTTTTCTGATGAAATTGATTGTTATTAACAACATATCCTTATTAACAAGTTATTAAACAAATTTTAGACATTTGTACAATATAATAGTCAATGATAGATTTGGCAGCTCAATAACGCTTTTTACAGATAAGCCACATCTTTCAAAGTTGGGCTACAGGAATCACAGAAATCTTGTTTAAGCTTTCACACCGATGTCAATCATAGTTAAGTTACAGACTCATAATCAAGCTAGTCTTATTCAAGTGATAATTTATGGGTAGATAATTTCAGCATTTTTATGATTAACTGGCTTGATCTCTTAAGATTATGTTTGTTACCATTGACTTTTGAAAATGTTATTTGTGAGGACTATGGCACTTGAGGATAATTAAAGTCTTTGCTATAGTTGTCCGTTTTTCTTTTTAATGTCTAAAGAAGTGTTTACAAGATTTAATACCAGACTTAAAGAAGTGTCTACCAGATGAAATGTGTCTACAATACTTCATGTGCAGTAGATTCATCAAAAGTGATGAAATATATGCTGGAATCAGAATAAATTTGTCTTATTAATTATTTTATGGAAATTATGCTGAAACATTTGAGGTTGGTAAATTATTCTCATTAGAAGCTGTTCTTTTGTTTGTTACTTCAAGAGACTGAATTTTATTCACAAAGTCTCTTTAAAAAAATTTTTTTTCCCTCAGCATATTCAAAAAATAAAAATTGACTGATGCCTCAAAAAATGAAATAACTAGTAGTTAGTAATTTGCTTTCAATGCGCTAATTTTTTAAAAAAAATTTTTTTACCTGTTTCGAGCTGCATCTTAAGTTAGTGTGAGTCTTAGTGCATCTTAGTTAAGTTGAATTTCTTCATTTTCTAGAATATTTAAAAAAGTTATAATTTTTGCCTTGTTTTAAAATTTGTTTTTTGAAATATGAAATATATTTTTATGTTTGATTTTTCTTCAATTTTAGGCTTTAGCGAAGGTTAGTACTCTACAAAAAGAATTAGATAATTTAAGAGCTGGGTCTTATCTTCATTCATCATGTAGGATATCAGAATTAGAAACATTACCATTAAGTAAATTAACTCAACTTCAAGATCAACTTAGAGAAGACTTAGAAAAAATAGGAAAAGTGAGTATAGTTTACCTTTTGTTTCAGATGATTTGTAAAAATATGATTTTAATTAGATTAGTAATAGAATATCAGAACTAAATTAGATCAGAATAACTCAAGAAAACTGACTTGTGAGATGTATCTCATTAAGATAAAAATGTACCAGCACGCATAGTTGGATAAATTTTCTTGGTTAAACATTTCTTAGCTTTTGTGATATTTTTAAGTTAAATTTCTTAAAACATTGAGATAATAAGCATTTATAAAATCTTTAATTTAGAATATTTTATTCATTTTTATCATAAAATTTTTAATACAAGAAGTAACAAAATTAGATATATTTAAGAACTAAACAGTTTTAAAGTGTAATGCATTAAGTCTAATATGTGTGTATATATATATATATATATGTATATATATATGTATATATATATGTATATATATATGTATATATATATGTATATATATATGTATATATATATAT